AGTCATGGTATGACCGATTTTTGGATTAGAACTAACAAGGAAATATTCACAGAAAATAGAATTCCGGTTTAAGGAATTCTAAGAAATTTTGAAAAATTTCAGCCTCGCTTTAAGGAAATTTAAATTTGAATAGTGGAAGCACTGCTTCGAATCCATGTTAATTTCATTGATCTCTTGGGGTTTATGGATTATTTACATTTTTTTATGATTTTCACTGTTCTTTATGTTTTTGGTGTGTCGGCCCCTTAGTGGAGGGGAATGTGCACGTTTCTTGTCAAATCCCTGCCCAGAACTTAAAGTTGCTTTGTAACTTGAGCTAATCAAGTTATATATAAGGTTTGGGTTTTATTAACAAGGATGAAAAATGTTTTGAGCCAATCAGACTGTTTGTTTACAATTTCAACCAGCCAATGGTATAGCGTCAAAGACAATAGAAATCGCATCGAATCAGCCGCAACAGTAACGCTCGCACCTCCTATCCAAAGCTGTGGGGAAAAACCGGCGCCACAAAAAGTTAACGCTGAACGCGAAAATTGTCATTATTGAAGTTCTTCATACAATTATGCATAGCAAAGGAGTATATATAAAACTTTGTCGTCCCCATTTTTAAAATTCGGTCGTTAACCAGAGATAAGCGACGAAACGTTTAGCCCATTATTGCCCTGATTGGATCTGCTTACATTGGTTATGGTTGGTTGTACTCCAAGAAAACGGCATCAAAACATTTTTCATCCTTGTTTGGTTTTATATGGGTTAGGTGGAGCGACCTGTGTTGATGCACCAACGGAAAACGGACTGCTATTATAAAGGAATGTAGCCCCAAAACGTGATTAAGGAAGTTGCAGTTCCTATTGGTTGGATGAGTGGGATATTTAATTTTAATTCAAAGACTTCCTTTGTTAAAATATTCCCTCCCCCTGAACGAACCTCTGCTTTGGCAAACCCCTTCGCCATATGCGCATGCGTACTTTACGGATGGCACCTAACAAGAATCAAACGCCTTCTGGGAAGACTCCGATAGCTGCCTTAAATACGAATAGCATAAACCATTGGCAACTTTCAGCATTAAACAGAGGCCGTATGTACGTACCAGTGCTGCAAGCATAGCCCTAAAAAACATGAAGTGCGGATAGAGAGTTAATGTTTGAATCATTTAAAATGACAAAAGAACATTTCTATATATTCAGTATCCTTTAATTTGATGTAGTCGTCGGTGCTTAGTCGATTTGTACACTGTGCTTGTTGCGAACTTTGGTATGTCTAGTGTGAAAATTACAGTTTAGAACCTTCAGTTAAAGTTCGTTGGTATAAACGGGGGAGTTAAGAACTTTCTATAAAGTATTATAGTAAAGTAGTTAAGTACATTTGCCAGCGCTTCATGATTTGGTTTTGGTTTCTTACATACGGGTAACTTATAATAGTACAGTTATCTGTTATTAAATATTCTAAGATCGACATACGGCTGACCGTAATAAACGAGGATTTTTCTTCATTTATTCAGGATAGTAATCGCATTACTTTGCCGTTTTTAGATCACTTCAGGAACTCAGAATGTCTGCACTGCACGAGCCTTGTTTGACTATAGAGCAGGTGTGTACATACATTACTTTACAATTAAATTTTGCTTTTTCTTTGAACCATTCTTCCTTTCCACTCGCCCATCACGAATTTCCATGCCAAATCATTTCTTAGTACAATTCTGAGGAACAGAGCTAATAAAGATGCCGTTGGATGATTTTTGATAAACTACATTCTTTTTTTATAAGAACAATTTTATAAGAACACGAGCCTCAAAAGTTAAGAACAAATTAAATACAAGCTGAGGCTGAGCTTCTGCAAAATGCAATTTTGAACAAAGTTTTTTCTCAAAATCGAGGATTTTTAGCGATGTGTGGGTGCATTTTCGGTGAATATTCAAATTTGTCAGCAAATTAAGGCTGTCTCACTCACTTTGTTGGCAAATGAGGCCTGAACACCTCCCTAGAGCGAAAAAGCTAGCACTCGCACTACTTACACCCTCTTAATTTAAGAACAAATAAAAAACAATCCAGCCTCAAATTTTCGAAAAAATTTAGAAAAGTCACCCTGAATTTAAATTTACTGGTTCTTATAAAAAAATGAGTGTAGGTATCAAATCTAATTCGCTAGAAACAAACGGAAAGCAACAAACCTTACTAATTCAAGAAGTCTCCAAGATTTAAACACAATCTACTGTTTTGTCTTTTTTTCCTCGACATCCTTTCAGGTTGTACGCAAATTTTAACGAATAGTCGCTCATACTTTACTGCAGATTCCAGAGAGTGTCCACTTTTCTTCATTATTACAGTGCCGAGAACAATGATAACAAAAACTTCAAACAATGAACAGTTAACTATATTCAAGAATTGTTTTTCTATTGTCAAAGCCTTGTGTACGTAGTCTCAAGGCAAGGGAGACCTCAATACAATGTGACGTTGTAAGAGATTTTTTTCTTTCATTAACAGAGGGTCAGGATGAAATAAGTTTTGATCCTGGCGATATCATCGAAGGGATTGAGAAAGTTGACGAAGGTTGGTGGAGGGGAACGGCTCCAAGCGGAGCTTATGGACTCTTTCCTGCTAATTACGTCGAAATCATTGACAACGAAGAGGTTAGAGAACTTCATTGCCTCAAATGATTGCTTGCAGTTATGCATTAGATTTTCATAAACTGCTTACCTAGTAGAGTTGATATTAAGAAATGTAATGTTAAGTATTGATATATGCCTTGTTCCATTTCATCCCAATTTCCAATCCAGCTATTGCCTCGGAATGTGGATATTCCCAGTGGTCGAACTGCGAGGGGGGTAACCTATAACAGTACGTAGGAATTATATCGGCCAAAAGTTTTCGGAATGTCCTGATGATAGCATCAACGCTGTTTTTGTAAATGGACATTTTATGGTTTAAGTAGCACCCACCTGGTGCAGTTCTTTTGTAAATACCCAATTGGAAGTGATGGGGCAATATCGAAGCCTCATCTGCATGAGAAAGTTTTGCATGAAATTCAACCATTTCTTTTAAAATGCTTTAAATAATGGTATATTTAAAAGCGCAAGAATTTTTTTGAAATGTACGTTTCCGTGTAGACGTAGAACTTGTTTCATTAAGGTTAAAGCGCAGATTTTCAAGCCATGTCCATAAAGACGTTGCCTAAATCATAGAATTGTGTCGAAACGGAGAAGCAATTGCCAAACTAAAAAAAAAATTGGCCAGGAATTTGAGTCTAGCCATGTCAGATGTAAAGTTTTTCTTTATAGCCAACCACCAAAAGGCCTGTACATTTTACCCTTGATATAATTTTATTACCAAAAGACTCTATTCCCTTAGAATATCTTGAAGGGCAATTTAAATTTGCTGAAAATTTTGCAAAAGTTTGCAAAAATCTAAAAAATTTTATTTGCTAAAAAAATTTGCTGACACAAATTGGAATGCTGCTGAATGGCGAGAGGGTGTATCACAGAATACGAAATCCAAGGGACAGCTCTTCAGAATTGTGCAGTTCTACTGCCGCAAGCCAATTTATATTTTCATAGAAGCGCATTTGTTGTCGTAGATGGTTCGTTACATAAAATAATCGATGTTAAAATCCAAATGAGACAATCTGTACAAGTAGATGCTTCTTGATCTCCCCGAGCCATCGCACTGTGTCCCAATTAACAAAGTTCCAAAGCTGCCATTGTTTTCTATATATCTGGTTTCATACACCGTGTTTATATTATCTCTTATATCTATTTCAGAAGCAGCCTACAGTAACACCAACTATTCAGGCTCCAGCTTCTCAGGCCGAGGAACAGACTCCAGCTTCTCAGGCCGAGGAACAGGCTCCAGCTTCTCAGGCCGAGGAACCGGCTCCAGCAAGTCAAGGCCTTTCTGCCAAAGCACTTTACGATTACCAAGCAGGTTTGTAGCATTCTGTTTTATAGAAAAATTGCTTTTCTAAAGTTTAGTTCCTTTCTCGTGTACAGTTATATTCGGAAATTTCCAAGCACAGGAAAAATAATATTTTTTCTTAGGGCCTGTTTATATTTAAAAAATCATCCCACCTTCCAGCCTGTGAGCTGAGAGGTGAGTTCCCACTCTTCTATAGAATCCTTTGTGTTTTTCGTCTTGCATTTATATGGAAAACAACCCAGTCCGGTTAAGTGAGACCCCTCTGCATGAAAGGTGGGATTTCACTGAGGTGGGATGAATTTTTCCATATAAACGCTGGAAGGTGGGATGGAGCTGGAAGATTGGATGAAATGTTCATATCAACGCGATCAAATTTTGTCCCACTTGTCAGTACACAGGCTGAAAGGTGGGATGATTCTCTGCATATACAGCTGGAAGGTGGTTTAGAGTCTGCATGTAAACATTCGATGATTTTATCCCATCTGCCAGATTATGGGTTGAGAGTTGGGATTAATTTGCTCATATAAACAGACCAATAGATTTTTTCTTTTCATCAATGCCTAACAAAAGTACCATCTGGATAACTTACACTCCTCTTAAACGAATATTAAAAACAATCAAATAAGTAAATGTAGTAATAAAAAAAAGGGACAGACAGACAGACAGACAGACAGACAGACAGACAGACAGACAGACAGACAGACAGACAGACAGACAGACAGACAGACAGACAGACAGACAGACAGAGACAGACAGACAGACAGACAGACAGACAGACAGACAGACAGACAGACAGACAGACAGACAGACAGACAGACAGACAGACAGACAGACAGACAGACAGACAGACAGAAAGAAAGAAAGAAAGAAAGAAAGAAAGAAAGAAAGAAAGAAAGAAAGAAAGAAAAAGCCGCTCGGAAAGTCGCTCAAGTATCTTTAATCCTTGAATCCTTTTTTCCTGATTCGGTTTTGGCTCCCAGAATTCTACCTGCATACCTATTATTAGGGGTGTTCTGATTGTGATTAAAGGGTTCTAGACGTGGGATCATAAATTCCATAGATGCACTCTTTTGTCATTTAACGAAAAATAGCCAAGTCTTGTATTTTTTCATTGTTTTCGATAAGAAATTTTTTATTGTCTTTCTGCTGTCTATTTTTCCTTAAATAATTATCAAAGCTCTGTTCTGAATTGATTTGAATTTTAATAATAGCTTTAATCAAGCTTCATTTGCAAGATTAGAAATTGTAGTTTTGAATGCCACAAAAATAGTAATGCCTTCATTCTTTTTCCACCGCATAGCTCTGCATGGGCGCCATCGGCATTACATTTTAAGCATTTTTTATCGTTCATTTATGCTGGTTTGGTAGATCTACGTGCTACATTACAACCTCAACCATTTCGAATTTACTGTTGTCCATATTAAAAGGTTCATTTGGTCCCCCATTAGTAAAAGCAAGATAAGTCAATTATCCTTGTTCCTATTGCTAAAAATCTGAAGGCACGAGCTTAACAGGTTCTTTTAAAAAGTAAACTGCCTTGATAAGCAAGTAAAGACTTGATAAATGTTCTCTGCTGTACGGGTACGGCTATCTGTAGGAAACAGCCATTCAAACGTCTTAAAATGTTAGTACCATACTGCTTATTGGCGAGAGTTTCATGTGTATAAGTCATGATGTCATATTTGCTCCTATTTCAAGAACACAGGAAGCTGCTTTGTAGCTCTTTGCTCTTGTTTGCAAAAGATGCACATTTTTAATCCCAGTCTTTTGGAAGTTTATTCATTGCAGGGCCCACACCACCGGGGGGCCCACGCCACCGGGGGGCCCACGCCACCGGGGGGCCCACGCCACCGGGGGGCCAGGGTGGCCATGGCCTCCACCCTTCTTCTTTGCGACCTATTTTTAAAGCTGCTGTAAGGGTAAAGAAGCTTTCGCTCCCTACTTTTGCTAGTCTTGCCCCCGAACTTTCCACTTTGTGGCGTGGGCCCTGCATTGCATTAGATTGATTAAAAGATTTAGGAATTGATTTCAAAACATATACAGGGCTGAAGTAAAACATGACCTGGTATATACAAGCTCTGGATTTTATGACCTCGAATAAAGATTATTTTTTGCAGCCTTTTTAAAAGTGCTCTCAAGCAGGCTGTCAAATCATGGCGAGCTCGTGAAGCACTCTGAGTCTTTCCCCTTCTTGGTTGGGTGTCTCTGCTAGGTTTTTAAAAAAATATCGTATCGAAAACAGCTACTTTAAAAAAGCGTCGACTTTGATCATTTTATCAGCAATGCGTTTTCTGGCCATCCAAATTAAAAAAGGAATGAATTTTTTTTTCTAGAGGCAGCTCTGAAACCCAACTGATTTTCTTCCAATTCGTGAAGGGTACCGTGAATTTCGGTTATATCTTATCCAGTTTATTTTGACCCCTAACCAAAATTTTAAGTCACATGCCTTGCTTTAGTTTTCGTTTCAGTCAGTTTTGTCTATTTTTGTCTAAAGCAATAGCAAAAAAATAGGACTTAGGCAGAAAGTTTGTGGGACATCATTGAAGATGCATTAGTTTGACATTCGTATATCTTTGCGTTTAATTTGTTTACCTACAAAGGCTTGCTACCTTTTGCTTGCCTTTTAACTGTGATTGCGAAGCGACGAAGGAGCTAAGCGCGTATATTCTGGATCTAGTAATTTTATATTCCGCTGACAGCGCATATATTCAGTACCTAACCGCTGACATTAGGACCAGCAATGTCAGATAAAGCATCGTCAACTTAGGAAACACGTGATGGTCCCAAACATACAAAATCGAAGTGATGCAACCACAAAACTGTCTTAAAAATCGGTTGTTTATTAACATAAAACATATATCTTTATGAATCCTCCTAAACTTCATTGCTTTGGAACTAGTGAAACAAAATTTTAAAGCCGAGAGATCTGATCAATGTAGCAACTTGCTGTCTCTGGTTTAAAGGATCAATTCTTACTGCTTTACTGATCTCTTTTTCCGTGTAGCGTTTGCACAGAACGCTAAAGAGAGATCAACATCAATTACAAAGAACTACGCACATTATAGCAAAATGTTAATTCACGAATTTTTATAAGAAGCTTGTCCCGTGGTTGCTTTCAGTTTTGTTGATTTAAGAGTTGCAGTTTCTAAATGTTTCTCAAATACCAATTGCTAGCGAGCTAGTTTTGAAAAAAAGGAACAGGTAACATAAGATGGCATGAAATTTATATCATCTATTTAGTAGGAAGGAATTCTTCCTCCCTTTATCTATGTCAGTTTTACAGCAAATAGATGTCATATTGTTGAGGTAAATTTGATAGCAAAGAGTTCTTCCTCTTTTTAATCTTCAAAGATGGATTTCCGAGCAGTTTTAAAGGTTGAGGCTGATCAGTACTATGGCTTCTTGATATTTGTTGTCATCTTAAGGCTCCGTTTCTTAAAGACAGTTTCTTAATAAACATTTGCGCGTATGCCTATGCCTTAGTTTCTACGTCTCGTGTTTTTATGAGAGTTGAACAGGCAAAGGCACTTGAATTCTGCAGTTTTTCTAGCCATCCACTCAAATTTCCCCTGTTAAACTGCTTGCAATTAGCAGAAAGCTGTGAGTGAGAAGCATCACTAATAAAAGCAAGCAACGAAACTCTGCTGGTTTTTGGGTTATTTCACTGATCAACGTGTCTTTAAATTAACAGAATGCGATGCCTTTAGAAGCCTCTTGTTGTATGTTTCTGTTGTGAAGTTAAACTGCCAGTCCCTTCATCTTGATTTCAAGAAAATGCTTTGAACTGTTCTTGTTTTAGAATCACTCTGTTTGTACTGAAGTATAATGCCAGAAAAATTGTTTGGCAGCAAAATTTGAAAATATGTATTATATATAAGCATCGACATTGAAAGAGGATTGAAAACCTTCCAATCATAGAGTTTAAATAACATAACCAAGTATTTAAGGACTTGTAAGAAATGTATGGCCTGATGTAGCATTGCAAGTTTTGTACAACATAGGTTATGTTCTTACTTGGAAGATATTTCGTCTAACTATTCCTCGTTGCTTGTAGCCTTGTTTATTAAGTTCTAATGTGATTTTGTAATTAAGAGCTATTTTCTCTCGTTAACAGAGGGTGAGGATGAAGTAAGCTTTGATCCTGGTGATATCATCGAAGAGATTGAGAAGGTTGACGATGGTTGGTGGAAAGGACGGGCTCCAAGTGGAGCTTATGGACTGTTCCCTGCTAATTACGTCGAGTTGCTTGATTCACAAGAGGCAACGGTACGTACAATATAAACAGATTATGCATTTTCACATTCACTTTTCATCAACGTGCAATACCGAGGCTAAATCTATCAACGGCTTTGGTATTTTTTAAAGGTTCACTAGATTATATTTTAGTGCCTTAAGTTAGAAACTGAATTTAACTGGTTTTATGATGCAGTTACGTCGAAACTTCGTCACTTTTTAGGGCACAACCGAAAGCCAACCCGAAGAGGCTCAAATGACAAGTCAGCCACAAGGGATTTCCGCCCGAGCCCTTTACGATTACCAAGCAGGTATAAAATAGAACTATTCGCTTCTATGTAACCAGTTTGCTTGTTTGCCCCCATCCTCGCGTAATTTCTGTTTTATTATCAAGTACCATCAACTCAATTTTATTCAAATTTGTGACTGAAATTTTGACAATTATGAAAATGGCTGTTATTTTGGCCGTGCTCAATGGCATCTTTTACCGCGCTCTTATAACGTTATTTGACTTGCAATCCATTCGGAATATTACCCGTGGTAGTTGGTACCTAATCCCTCCTCACCGCACAAGTACTGCTTTTCCCTCTGTAGTTGATCTTGGAAACCCTATATTAATTCCTTATACTTCTCGCTTTCCTTTATGATTAGTTACCCCTTCTGAAAATAAACAGAATAGCAAGCAAGAATAAATGGTCATCTTTATGTTTCAACATATATCATTCCAACCAGCTTTACCCTTATGAAAATAGCTCTTAATTCAACTTTCTTTTCCATATTATTGATAAAAACTTTCCCCCACGCTGATCATACCAAATGCATACAAATCTTAAAGCATTTTTCATTTTATGCCTCTTTTCGTAAGATCCTATACCCTTCTGTGTTTTTATGTGATGCTTAGTACCAGTCCTCTCACAGTGCTCTAAAAATAACTTCTTTTAGCTGACGAAACTGAAATTTCATTTGATCCTGATGACGTCATCACGGAGATTGATCAATGTGACGAAAACTGGTGGAGAGGACAAGCGCCTGATGGACGTTATGGGATGTTTCCTGCGAACTACGTTGAACTTATTTAGCATCAAACAAAGCGATTTTCCGCTTCATTAAATCAATCGGCACGATATCTAGCTTTTTAAGAAAATTTTATAGATATAAAACTAAGCTTGATTCTTATCAGGGTATAAATGTCACGCTGTACTTGAATGCAGCAAAGACCAATTTGCTGTTCTTTAGAGGAAGAGGTGCTTTCGTGAGAGCATGTCTTATGTTGCTGAGTTGAACTGAGTAAAACAGAAGTGCAGCTTTATAGGCCCCAGATTAAAGCCAAGTACATTTTATTTGCTTTAATTCTTAATGTTTTGTCTTTGCTTATATCTCCACCTTGTACTCCTCGCCAATTTTCAGTATCCACATTTGCACCCAATGTTAGCTTTTGATAATTATTTTTTGTCAAACAAACTTTTTGTAAAACGGTTCGTAAAGATTAACTCTCAGTAATATCGTCAGATGTTGCTTTGTGATGAACAGTTGACATTTGTTCTGCTTTTATTATCCCTTGTGGTCCCTGTGTTGACCGTTGTCGTCAGTGTTTTTGGTCTGCAGAAATGACACCGGCAAACGTGCAAACGACAAAAATAAGGCATCTAGCCTGTTAATTCTAACGATATGATTGATTTATGGTTCCCTTGCTTATAACTTATAGAATATAACACAACAATATCATTTGAATAAGCTAAATATCACTTAAACTTAATAAAGGAATGAACTTTGATGAACTAAAGAGCACGTTGTATCGAAGTCATAATCAGGTTTCTTTTTCTAATCGAGCATTTGTTTTGTGACCTGTTTTATGCTCACTGTATATTACGTAGACACAGTTGCCCATTAGTGAAAAGCTGTGCCCGAGATGAAAGGTTACTAATCTGAACACACCATTTCGTAAGTGCAAAAATACTCTAATATTCACAGGTGATTTTATTCCTGATTTATAAGTTAGAATGAGTTGGAGGGTTTCGCAAGGCTGACTTAGACATAGTAACTAAAGTTCTGCCTGTTAACGCAGAATTTCTAGGAAGCTACCCAGTGAAAAAGGACCTAATAAAACGTTAAACATCGATGACTATATAGTGAATAAGGTTGATTATCGGATATGAAGAAAAATAACACAAGCTAAATTTTGTATCAAAAGCCCTTCACCGCCACAGTGGCGGATTTAAGGAGGGCAACTAGGGGCAGTTGCCCCTCCCTCGACGATTTGGAGCAAGTATAGCACCCCTTTTTTTGGAAATTGTGCGCCCCTTTTGAAGAATGAGAATCAGGTGAAAAATTTCGTGAGACTAATAGGTTAATTTGCTTCAAGGATTACTTCAAAGTTATGTTGTTTATTCCGAAAATGGATCTGAAATTATTGTATACAGCGTACTCTCGTCATCAATTTTTGAAAATTTTTTAGCGCCTCAACTACCAACTGCCCCTCCTTCACGTTTGTTTTGGATCCGCCCGTGCCTGCCACAAATACCGACATTGATTCAAATATGGCTCAATGGCACCATAAAAGGCATGTTTACACGGGATAAAACAGGTTCCAAACAGAACCAGGCAAAAACTGACTCTAGTTCACGTCAGGTCCAGCAATCAGGGGTGTAGCTAGGGGTGTAACATCTACCCCCCAGTTCTGCATGAGTTTCTTCCTTCTTTTACACTTTATGAGTTTTTCGGTAATTCTTCAGTTGCTCCATAATATCCTCAGTTGATCGGTAGAAACGCCTATCAGTAGGTGAAATAGCAACTAGATTTTTCTTCATCTATGTCTCCGTCGGTAAATTTTACAATTGATGACCCTCCACTCCCTTAGTCTAGAAGGTCAAGATACACCACTGCCCGCATTGGCTAAACAGGAAGACATTTTCAGATCAAACATGCTCCATTGGAACCAGATTTGGTACGGTTCGAGCTTCTACATTTTGTACTATGAAACAACGAAGCCTGAATATTAATAAAGCAGCATAACAAGGTAAATGCAACTTGGCAAAATCGAGAGAATCTGCGGTAGAAGAAACGGTGTCCTTCGAGGATAAGTTTAGGGATCTTCATTGTTGATACTTGTCAACAATTGGCAGGGCTGGGGGTCTCAGGGGAGGGCTGTGCCCCCTTATAAATGCCAGAAATATACATTCTTTTCTTGTTGTTATTGTTTTTAGGAATTTTTGTTGCAAGGGCTCTATTGCTAATTTCAAAGCAACATACCCCTGACTATTACCTCCCAGCTATTATAACTGTACAATGTTACTTGGTTTTTCAAGCTAGTTTTTCTGGAATTTCAAATTGCGGAAAGAATTAGCCATTACCCTGGCAACAGAAACTTGTTACTAAGCCCCTACCCTTTAATAAGCCCAATCCTAAAGTTTACCTGCCAGTTTTTCCAAAAGAAGATCGTAGTCAATGAAAAGTCAGATATTCAACGAAAAACGAAAAGCATTAATAGAGTATTTCGCCACATTTGTGTTTTTAAAATCAACTTGCGTGTTAAATTTTTCGCAAATTTTGCGTTAAAAAGTGCAAATGCTTTGAAAACGAGCTATTTTCATGGCCAGTATCAGATGATGTTTTTAAAATCCCCCACTCTCTCGTTTAAGACTTCTTGTTTTACTCTCAATTCAAAAACGACCCAAATAAATACGCCCCTAGGTGAATATTTCGAGGATTGATTGTGTTATTGAGTTTTTCACTTTATTTAGAATGGAAAATCAACTTCAGTCACAGCAAACCAGGCTAATTCAATAACGTACAAGTATACACAAAGTAAACGTTTCTAAATGTTTTTATGCATTATTAATATAAAATCACTTACGTAGACATGCATTACATATTCAGGTCGCCCCGTCCCTGATTTTAAATCTTTCTTTAGAAATTAGAATATCTACGGATTTTATTTTTTCGGGTAAACAATTTCAGGCTTGTGATCCGAGCAAGATCCCTGTGATTATCAAAACTGAATGTTATTTGGTTGAGCCTCTTGTTCTACAAGCAACTTTAACGAATTCTACTTTTGATATTGTTTTCGGAACGTTGTGCGTGATAGCCCCCTCCCCTTTCTTGTTCTCTTTTTAGTATTTCACCCCTGGATTAGAGGAAGTATTTGCATCGTTTCAGGATTGAGCTCATTTATAGTTTTGTATTTCTTAGAAAAAGAGGGTTATTGGGCTTTTTGTTATTTGCAAAGCAGTCCTTCGTAAGATAATTTGGTCATCGTAAAGAAAACAGAGAGTTCTTTGCTCTGATGAAGCCCCGTATGCCGGGACGAAATGTTAGCCATTACGATATATGTGTGTTTGTTGTTGTCAATTCTCATCGCGTTGCGGTGTTTCTTACTCACTATGTAGAGTTCGTTCCTGTTTTTGCGACCTCATGTACGCGAGCCGAAGAGAAAAATCATACTAAAGGGCAGTAGTTGAAGTTTGAGTACAACAATATCTGGTCGACGACCTTTTTTCCTTAAAAACAAATAAAACATTTCAGTCTTTCAATCACGTTTAGTTGTGTTCAGTGGCGGCTCTTGCTAATGGGCATCTGGGGCAATGCCCCCTCAAAAAGATTCAAAGGAAATGATATTCTTGATATTCATATTTAATTTTGAAGATAGTCTTACTGTGGTTAATTATATAAGTTTGTATCTCTTGTAGTGACACCAAATCACCAAGCGACTCCAGCTTCTCTAGTTTCTATAGCTTAAGATTCTATAGTTTGATGTCCAGTGAACAAATTCCTGTGTTCGCGGTCACTTGATTGTTATCGAACTATGTTCACCTTCTTTTCCGAAAAAATATATAGTTGCGGTAGGCTTTTTGAAAAATGTGCAGATAAATTTTTATCTGCTTAGTTGACAAGAGCACATGCCCCTTCGATGAAATAAAGAAAAGTCATTGGTGCAGAAATTGAAAAGAAAAGGGCCAAAGACTGATCCTTGATGTACAACTGGTAAAACAGTTTGGGAGCTGCTGTAGACATCATTGAATCGCACTGTCTGTGAACATTCTGTGAACCTCTCCTTGTACTGTAGATCTTTGAAATCATTTTGCGAATTCCCGTATAGAATATTACCTCCCTGATAGCTTACATAAAGGTGTCAATTTTTGCAAATGTTACCATGCTCGATAGAAAGGCCTGCTACGATTGTTGTTTTGTTCCTCTTCGCCACCCTGAACTACGTGCCTCGTATGGGTTTTCTGTTCGGCGAGATTGGTCCGGCAAATGGTATAGCGCTCATTCAAAGCTTCTCCGCCATTTTGAAAGTCAACATTTAGGAGAGCAGTTTCATGTCACTTCATTATCAAAATGAGTTTCTTTGGTAAAGTACTTGTTACAGTTGGAATCTTATCGTTAGTGCATGCTGGATACTCGGCCGTTCAGTTTAAAACGTATCTAAAGCTGAAAGAGGAAGATTTTGCGAGTTTGCCAACTGACATTTTAGTCCAAGTCATGCTCTCTCTGATTTTCGCAGTTTTTGGAATAGTTAGAGTTGCGGGAGAGCTAAGAGACATTCATGCAGCGGCAGAACTTGCTTCTAAATCCTGGGAAACATTCGGGAATCGATCATCCTTTTATAGTTTCAATCATCGAGGAAAAATCATGTTCTCTGACCTTCTTCAGGATTAAGAGGAAACATGCACTACTCGCAAAGAACAGATGGAATTCCGGTGGCGAACATAAACTTGCAACCAAAACAGAGCAAGGCAGAATGAGTTCATTCAACTTTAGTGTGAGTTTCAAAGATTTGAAAGCCATCTCGGAGAAAAATTAATAAATGCGTTGTTGATATTAACTGCCTTGGTAAGAAATAATAATGAAAGGCAATAATAAACACGTTCCTTTTAATTCTTATCCTTGTTTCAGACAGAATACTTTTGTAGAAAGCTATGTTGCTTGCATTAAAGTTGTTGGCATTGTGTCAGTGTTTATATATTGTCAAATAACATTGTATCAAGTAATATGATTTAAAGGAATTCAATCAATCAATCAAAATCTTTATTAACGTGTCAATAATATTTAGCTTACAGGCTAATTGGGGATACAGCAAAAAAGTATATAAAGTTAAACTTAAGTATAACATTTGAAATTACAGTCTAATTTTTAAAACATTAAAGTCCTATGTACAACTAAACTACAGTCTATTGTCTAAAAGAGTAAATTGTTGGCACCGCTTTGATGGCTCTCTTGGGGATCCACAAGAATGAATTCAGGCCACAGGCAGACCTCATTAATCTACACGAGCACGTCCCTTCTTTTTTTCTATTTCCTCTCGTTGAAAGAGACCATTCACAATTATTGGATCTTTCTATTTCTGAACATAACATATGCCTTTCTTTAAAATAAAGAAAGTTTTAGACAACTAAGTCTACCCACAACACACTCTAAGGTATTTGAGAAAGCAATAGAACTACAACTTTCTCTATTTTCTGAAGAACATTTTTTGAAATACTTAAAGTGCATATAGCAACTCTTTTAGAAAATAATTGGACTGGAAGGATAAACATTCTGGTGCAGCTCCTTACGTGTCAAAGCCTTTGATTGTCTCCAAAAAAACCTTTTTTTAGCAAAACTACTTGCCTATGATGTAGATAGAAATTCTCTTTTGCTTATACAAAGCTATCTATCTAATAGTAATGAAGGAGTCAAAGTGAAAGTTTGTTGCAGCTCCTGGGGTAGACTTGTACAAGAAGTGCCACAAGGATCAATACTTGGAACTCTGCTTTTCAGTATTTGCCTTAACTAGATTTTTCACTGCAAAAATACAGATAAACTATCGCAACTTGAAAAATTAACACTAATAAATGTCTTGATTGGTTTAAATCCAATGAAATGAATGTAAATCCCTCTAAATTTCAAGCTATCACCATTGGAAGGAAGAATAAAAGTTTGTAAGTGAGTTTGAAACTTACAAAGAATTTGCAGTTGGAATAGAGAAAATTTTATTTTGCTTGGTGTCCAGATCGAGAAAGATTTAAACTTGATGCTTTCTAAAAAGATTAGCAAGATTTATGGGCGACATAGAGAATATATGACTTAAATTATACCATGTCACTTCAATTGTATAGATTTTGTGTGGTAAAGTAAGACAGGACAAGATAGAGAAAATGAACTAGAGGCGATTATATGATCAACCTATTCAGACTTTTGGTCTTGCTCAAAAGAAACTACCATACATCATCCCAATCAGTCAGAATTTTAGCACTTTGTACCTAAAACAACAAGTTGCAACCTTCGACTTAAAAACCCTTTTGACATTCCAAAATTCAGAACTGGAATTCACTCCCAGAATCAATAAAGACAGCACAAAATGCTACACAATTCGATTTTCTCAAAACTTTGTTCCTCAAAAATAAACACGCATTTTCCTTTTGGCAGAAAGAAATCTGTCTTATGCATGCAATCCTTGAAATTGTTGTTAGTCATAATGGGTGTACGTTCACTATTGTAAAAACTAACATCAAATTATCTGTACAGTTACAATTAATGCCTTCACTAAGTAATTGTACAGGTAAACAGAATGATATCTCTTGGGAATGTAAGTGGCAAGCAAACATGCAAATACAAGATTAAACTGCCGAAACGGAACCTGAAATGCGATAAATTTTGCCTTGTCTGGGGGCCTGCAGCTTTCCCAGCCCCTAATGCTCCTACACCTATGGCGGTATACATTTCCGGAAATTTTAATAACCAAAAACTTTCATTAACACTGAATTCCGAGGGGGGGCATTTAATAAGGGGTCCAAAAGCTGCAAAACCGTAGAAAAATCAACCAAAGCCGCATTCTGCAATAAAATAAAGCGGAAAAATGCGGCCGCAATGGCAAGACGTGTTGTGACACAAAAAGCCAATTCCTTGCTTATAAGAAAAGGGAAAACATTTCTTGAAGTAACTGTACGAAAAGTTATTATGACTCCCTCCCTCTTTCTCTGTTTCACAGAACAACCTGCTGTGTTGATCCAAACCTCAACATTCATTGATTGCATCTTTTCATGGAAAAGCATCCACATCCTAAGGTCGTAAACCGTTGCCACTTTACACGGAAAGACACAAGACACATCTTATGCTGAAGCCGGAATTCCCAGAAAAACTATTGCCAGGAACTCCGGAACGACCAAGGGGCAAAGGGGCAGGCTTAAGTAAAAAGGGCATTTGAAAGATTAATTTTATTTCTATCTTCTTTAGGTATCTCGAAACTTGGCTAACTTTTGACATGAGCATTTTTTACAAGTTTTGAGAAATTTCGTCATGAATAAGGCTCTACAGTCAGAATTTCACAGGAATTTCTTTGCTATTTACAAAAAGGCCCATATCAATGATACTTTATGGAAAGGGCCCTTTCGTCCCCTTTGCCCCTCTTATCAGCAAGGGTGTCTGACCCCCCGCGCCCCATTCTCTGGCATCTCTGACTATTTCCAAATCCATAGACCGCACGTTAAGATAGGATTGAGGCCGTGAAGTCACAATCCTAGGATATGTTCCCTTCCGAATCAATGTTTCAGATGCCATAGATTTACCTGCTAAAGTTCTTTTTGCAAACTTTTGATTGGCCTTGTATGGCTTTCTGTAGAACTTTGAACAAAGATGATTGATCGACAATTCTACTTAGCGACTTTTCGTTAGAAATCACAGACTGAGAATTATTCGGAGTTTCTTGAAATATTGTCGGAAGTCTTCTGAAATCCCGTTCAAAACTTTTTCGCCGATATGTTAACGCCTAGACTTGAACCTGTCGAAGTTTTCGAACTTAATTTACAACAGACCCATTCATACCCATTCTCGCGTATTCTTTTCGACAGTTTTCGGCACATAATTCGTTTTTGTTAACCTGATGCATGCCTAGCTTACATGTGATCACATAATGTATGTTGGTTAATGCTGAAAGGAATCAATGGATTTTCATAATATGACATATTTGTCCTGAGCGTCTGTTTGCGCGCACAAAATGCTATTATTTTTTTGTCAGAGACAGCTTAAAGATGTCAAGTGTGTTTATTTGCTTTTGCGATCGAAAAATTGGCCATGTGCTCTATTCATCGGTAAAGTTGGGTAGTATATGTTTTAATTGTCAAATTACTAGACCCAAAATAACGCTTTCACGCTTCGGTGTCAGGTGCTTGTTATTCACTTATCGATTCAAAAATACCTCTTGCTATTTAGATCTATGCCTAGACGAATATTGTGCAATTCTTCGACAGTATTACATTCAAAGAATTTATATGGAAACACAGCTGCTAGTTTCCTTAATGAATGACTGCAGCTGGAAAAAGTGCGTCAAAGGAACTTTTGCTGCCAATGATTTGGAATTGTGGATGGCAGCTTTTGATCGAAATCGCACAGCCAAATTAAGTAAAGGATCTAGCCAAGTTTCTTACTTTCGTCTTGACAATCATTCTTTAATAACATTTTCTGGGGGGAGAAAAGGGGGCTATTTCAAGTTTTGATTGGATAGGGAGTATTCTGGAGATGTTGTATTATTGCAGCTGTTTATTAGTAAAATAAACCCAACACACTGCATTTTTCGACTGATCACCGATCCCTGTTTTTGTCCATTGATCACTGATCACTGCTTTTATCCATTGATCACTGATCACTGCTTTTGTCCAATGATCACTGATTACTGCTCTCTTCCAATGAACAGCGATCATTGCTCTTGTCCGTTGATTATCAATTGACGCTCTTGCCTACTGATTAATGGACTTGTCTTGTCTCCAGCCCCCCCCCCCCCTTCCAAAACCATGCAAGTTCCATCTCTATCTTTACCGACTTTCATATACCGTAATGCCTCAAATAAGCGTCCAGGCACTTATTTAATCTTTGCAGGCACCGCGGAGCGTTGAGAAAACTGGGGGGTCTAAAAAAGTGGGGAGGGGGGCTAAAACCGTATAAAAAGAGGCTTTTCTTGTAGTTTGATACTTAATTACTTAATATTGGCTAAAGCCCCCCCAGCCCCCCTGCTCCGCGGTGCCTGCTTTGAGGCTCCAGGGTGGGTGCTTGTTTGAAGGAGGCGCTTAATCGAGGGGGGCGCTTATTTAAAAAGTAGATTTGGGTGCAAATTGTGTTGTTCATTAATCTTCCTTGTTGAGTTGCCTTCCAATTGTGTTTTCCTTGAAAATACGTTGAAAAATGAATGAATAGTCGATTGATAAATGTCCAGCAATCTCCAAATCACCTTTTCTGCTTTAATACATTCCAGCAACGTGGCTGTCGATTATTTTGCCTTCTTTCTGGCTGTCTAATTGCCAAGTAGACTTGAACTCTCGAGAATTAGCGTGCATTGATTTGAAAAAAAATTGGAAAATACACCTTTTTAGATAACTTCGCTCATCCCTCATCCGGACAGCACTAGACCTGAGCTGCCTCGTTTCCATAGTCAGTTTATGGCACTGAGAGTCAGAATAGAAAAGGTTCAACATTTTTGAAGGTTTTCATCAACAGAGTTAGAAAGAAAAGATGCCTGGGGGGAACGTAAATCAAAGAAGTAGAAGCAGATCGCCTGTAAGGCGTGGTAAGTCTATTTTCTTCTCAGCTTACATGTAGTTTTATTATCTTGCTCTTAAGGTTCATGTCTGTTGTTTGTTTGAAACATGGCAGATTTTTAGGCCGTTGCCTCTTGTAAATTTTTATTGATATCTGAAGTCTTCAGAAGATCGTAATTTTAAGTCACTGGTTTTACGAGATTTGACTTTAAAACTCTTTATATTTAATTTGATTTCGAATAGATTGTTAATTGAGAGTGGCTTATTTGTGAATGAGTAGTTAGTAAGAGTGATGAGCGATCAGTATGGGTCTATATCATCTCTATGTATATTGAATAATACTAAATATTGTTCTTCAAAGGTATGGCCTAGTCCAAAATAGGCTGAAGATTATCAGGAAACTTTTTTAACCAAGAGTCACTTGAGACTTTCAAAGGATACTTAACAACTAAACTTATCTCAGTTTGATATTATCAATTCTACTATTAACATTCAGTAGAAAGAGCAATAAAAGTAACATAACAAAAAAACACTTTTCACATCTTTTTACACTGCGAAAGTCAGGACAGCATAGGCCCATTCTCTGACAGCATTGGAGAAAATCGATGATATCTCAAATTTGAAAAAGCTATAGAAGAGTTGTTTTTTGTTTTGGTCTCTGAATTAAATTCTGTACTAGAAAATTGAAATAGAATTGTAATTGAATATTTGGTTTTCTACACAAATTTTTTTGTCTCGCTGAATGGGCTTCCTGCGAAATTATTTAACAGAATTTGTTTATTGATACCACTGCCAAAATCAACCAAATAAGGGTAATTGGAAATACTTTTGTCCCAAACATGCTGAAAAGGTAGGAATATATTAGAATAACATTTTGAGAGTTTTTTTCAATTGTTTTACCCTTAAGTTGATATTTTCATTGCACCTGATGGAGGAGCCAAAAGAGAAATACAAGAATCGCTAGGAAAAACATTAAATTTTAGGCTGACCAGGTCATCAAAAATCGGCTCATGCTTTCACAGACAGCCATATTTTCCTAGAAAAATGTACCAAAGTGACTCTTTACTTGTAGGAGAATAAAATTTTGGGGGTGCACAAGTGGACAGAAAAACTGTTGAGATTCAGATTTTGTGCAAGCGCAGGAAAAGCTTTAGTGTAACGAGAATTGAGCCTTGTTATGTGCGATTCGTTCACTAATAAAACCATCCTTGACTAACGTGTCATTTCCAACCCAGCGTGTCTTATTTTACGTGCAGAGAACACGGAGCCAGTGAGAGAGACAGTGTGTTGCCTGTGTAACTCTGATGTGAACTGAACTGAACTGAACTGAACTGAACTGACTTACATAAAAATTAACATGCTTATATACAGAAATGAATATCTAGAATTAACACTAATGATGTAAGGAAAACAAAGGATAGGAAGGGCTAGACTAAGTGTGAATAGTTTATGAATTGAGATTTAGGTAGATGTGTAGGGTTAATGAGGGCCTAAACAAAAGAGAGGAAATGTTGACATAGTGATATGTTCGTAGAGTGTAGTGATGAGGTAGTGATGTGAAGAAATTACTGTAGGTAAAATAAACAAAGTAAAAATGGATGGCGATAGGTGAGGAAAAATTAGAACGAATGGAATCACTACAAAGCTGACTTTTTGCTGGTTCGCACCAAATGCTGATCTGTGCCCCCCCCTAGTTTTTAGCCTCATCCACTGACCAATTCATGCAAAAAATGTAGTATTTACCGTCTACCTTTTGAAAGCACACGAGAAAAGTATGAGGAGCACTTATGGCCTAAGATTCCCTCAAGTCCTAAGATCAAAAAAATGGTCGTCCTTTTGATTTTTTTTCCAGAAACCAGTAACAATCCTGCAAACAACAAATTTATGGTATAAGGAAGCAAAAGTGAATAATCTTTTAAAATTATTAGCTTAATGGAGTGAGTGTACCATTTATTACTGAATTTTGAAAGTCACTCAGTTTTTGAAAGTTGCCTATTGTGGTCTGTCAAATGGCAAAATATTTGCTGTCCTCATCTTCCCAGAAGAATAGATGTAACAGCTGTGTCATGTTTAAAGCAGTATTGCAAGAATTGGTTCATTGTATTACAATAAAGCAATATATTATACAATGCAAAAGACAGTAAGAAACTCTATCAGATGATAACTAATTTATTGAGGAATTTCTTAGGAAATATGAAAGACTGTTCAAAGGAATATCTGTTTAGTTTTCTCATACTTTTTACTTCCTGTTGAGATGTGTTAGGAAACCACTTGACTGTATTAGCAAAACTGTTTGGTTAAAATAGGCTAATCCTCTTGCTTTTTTCAAATCCTACTGGAAATGAGTGGGTCATGAAGTAGCACTTAAAAAATTGTGTGGTTCAATACATATCGTAATTTCCACATGATGAAGACTGCTGTCTACTTTTGCACAGTCACTTATACTCCTTTTCATCTGCATGCATTGTTGCTCTCTCACCACACTCTCGCAAAATAGATTCACATCCTCTTTGTGCAGACTGTAGTGGCAGTTATACAGTTATGATATCTCTATAAAAATATGGATTCCCCGTGTTTCAGACAAATTCAGGGCTTGGATTCGAGGTTTTGTTCTTTTGTCCTGCTGACTTGAGATTGAAGAAGCAATCAGCCTTAACTTTATAGAAAATTTCTCAACTTCTATATTTTACTCTCTTACTATTCAATATTTTTTGCATCCTTCTTTGGAGGCAAAATGAAAAAATTATTCTTAAGAATTTTTATATGGCATTAAAATCCACTAGCCACTTTTCAGTGATCAATTTGATTTTAATTCAAATGAATTTACAGTTCAATTAGAAAATGGCTTAGTTTGCACTTGTGTTGAGAAGTCCTATAAATTAGTTGATTGTTCAATGAATGTTGCTGGCATACTGGAGTCCTACTGTTGTCAATAGAGAATAATGTTTTTCATAAACCAGTTTTTGCTGAAGGGTACTTGGACCTTGTAAATGAGTCTAAAAGAAAACATATTGAACATAATTCAAATGCCACAAAACCTCATGGTACCATGTGGAAAACTTTTTCATTTATAAGTCAATTGATTGACTGTCATTCCAATTGGGAAGAATGTTTGGGCACAATCATAGCATCAAAAATTGAAACTTTGGTTCATCCATAAATAATTTCCCTCTAGAAAGAAGAAGAAGTCGATCCAGATCTCCAAGAAGACACAGATCACGGTCCCCTCGGCGCAAAGACAGGGAAAGACACAATGAACGAGATGGTGCAAGAGAACGGTAAGACATTTGAAAAGCCTCCCATGAATTTTCAGGCTGCATTAATGCTAAATCCATGGATGAAAGTTGAGTACCTCAGAGGGACATTCAAATTTTTTAAAAATTACTGTCAGTGCTTAACATCGTGCTTAAAATGTTCAAATTTAAAGTATGTACTAGAAGTATTGAATTTAACCCAGAATTACTTATACTTTAGACCTAAAAAGTATGAAATAATTTGGAATGAAATCACTCTGTCCATTTCCCAAATTCATTGACATTCTATAATCTAATGATCTTAGTAAATAGTTTTCATGTTTAGTTTAAATTGTTGTTTATGCAGGAGATCCTGAAAATAAGTAATGTTAGAAACCCCTGATGCATTATATATCTCTCAAAGCTTTAAATAGAAATTTTCCTACTTTAGAGGCAGGGCCATAGCAATGGAGGGGGGAATGGGGGACAAGGGACATAGCATCCCCATAGGACAAGAGCCTGCCTAGAAATTCCAATTCACTGGCAGATTTTATCAGTGATATGTTGATGAGTAAAAATAATCTGGTTGCTAAACTTTTCTAAAAAACTTGGGTCCCTCTCTCAAGCGCTTAGGTCCATATTTTCCCATTTCTTCGCTTAGGTCCTGTTTCATCTATTTATAGATATTGATTCCATTGTTCTTTAGAGTACTGGTACCATTTTTAGGAGGAACTCCTTAATATTCCATGCCTCTTCTTGACCAGGTCCTGTCAAGAGCAACAGCTGTCACAAAATCCTACAACTCATCTTTGTTGCCAGAACTTGTAAGCTTTGTAATGCTTTACATTCTTTTTGTGTCTTGGAATCTTGGTACCTATCTTTTTTCAAAGCTATAATAAAGACTTGATCTCACCTCCTCTCTTCTTTGATTCTCTCTCAATTCCTGTGTTAGGACTTGAATCTCTGCTTCACTGATAATTTAGTTCTTTACCGGAGCTCTTACTAGTATAAAACTTTGAAGCAATGCTGTTACAAAGAGCATCGTAACTCCGTTTTACACTTTTGTGCCTCATTCTCAAATTCTCTCTCTTTGCTTATTTCCTTGTCTTTTATTCATCTAATTCATCTTTTTTCATATTATGAACTTAGGTAGCTTAGCGCCACTCTGCCGCTTTCAATATAAAGACATCGTTTACATCTTGGCATTTACTTTCAGTTGTAAAACCAATTTCTTGGCAAAACTATAACATCAACTTAAATATTTCACCCCTATGAATCTTTCCATGTGGTATCTTTCCACGTGTGTGCGATTCTTACATTCCATTTTGATCAACAAAATGAACGGTATCATATCTGCAAACTTTCCAGTATTGCCTTTCAAGCCACTTTCTATATCCTGAATGGACATGGACGTTAAATGTTAGCAATAAAATATAAACCAGTCAAGAGTTACACCTAGTCTTATATCTTTGTTTTATAAATGGTAAAATTTTATCCAAACAAAACTTGTCAGTTTCAAGCAAAAATCAGTCTTTCAAAGAATATGGGTTTGTCCGAGGAGATAATTTTTCTATAGCTCTTCAAAGTTCATTTTCCCAGGATGTTGACGAACGTAATTCACTAAATCTGTCGCTTTCAAGTCGAATATTCCCGACACAACTTAACTGTATTTAGATGTTCCTCAAGTCTCATATTTAGGCACCCTGCTGCCTTACTATATTGGTGAATTTTTTGCGTTTTAACATTTCGCAAGTCTTTCAAGCTTTGTTATCAAAACAACATTCATAAACCCTGACCCTTTGTCTCCAGTATAACGTTAACGGATCTACTAAACAGGCACTAAAATCCAAACGATAAATGTAGGAAGATCTTCGAAAACTACTCGAAATCTCCGGTTTTCTTCGTGCGAATCTTGAAAGCTCTACTACAAACAAGACGTGGTCAATGTTACAGCAAGGCTCACCAGAAAACATCTCTAATTCTATCCGGAAGTACTTGAATAACTCCAAGGCAACCCGCAAAATCCTTACAATGATTTATCACTCTCGCATTTGCTTTCTGTTTCGCTGTCCAGTCGGCAACTCTTGAATTGGCTTTAAAAAATTCAAACATTTTGTGACAGACTAAACTTTTTCATCTGTCACTCTTTAGCGTAGAATAAGTCAGAACGTAGATCGAAACTCAAAGCCAGATATAAATTTATATTTTGGATCGAAATACGCCATTCAGAAAAGCAAGCAAATGTTTTTGAAAGTTGCCCGATCAGTGCCGCTTGCTTATTGAAAATATAACCAATGGAGTCCAAGGGTGAATACGAACTCATTGCGTCTACACAATAGGGGTATAATATTGATTTATTATAAAGTGACATAGAATGTTAGGAAGAATATTTTCTCAACAAATTAAATAATCTTATACTTTTCGACCTTTCTCCACAATATAATGTTTAAAATTTTTCAAAATTCTGTATGCCATACATCGCTGAACAATATTTATTTTGTTTCAGGTCACCAAGATCTAGATCAAAGTAAGTTTTTTACTTTTCATTTTCACCTTAATGAAATCAGCAGCCGTTCTCCTTTGATTTTTTTATGCTATGTTTGCACTATAAAACAAGAAACCTCTCTCGCGTTGTACCAGAAAGAATTTAAAATGCCTTAATGTTAAAGAAATGGCTTAATTAAATGCGTGAAAGACACAGGCTAGTATGAAAACAATATCACTGCTTTTTGAGTACTGTAACTATGGCTCAGGTTGTGTTGTTGCCTTACCAAAGTACTTGGTAATGTAGTGAGTTTAGTCCAAAGTCATGTTAGATGAAAATTATCCTGCCGTGTTATTTTGGAAACGACAAGTATCTGTTTTACAGGAAGAGCGAACTTAGAATAGAAAACTCTATCCAAAAGATTAGTAACACGCTCTTTTAGCTTGATTTGCTAACCGGAAAACAATCAATTTCAATTGCTTGCTAATCCAAGCAACATAATTATGCTAAATATTTTCGATACATTTCTAATAATTTTCTTGAGCTACATTTTAATTTCATGATATTCTTTGCTCGGTAACAGCTGTCATATTCTGCTCATGTGTCAATTGTTTTCTTTGATTGTTCATAATTAATGCATAACCCCAAACCCTCTCTATTTTTTTGCTAATGTACTGTCGGTTTTTTTTGTTAAAACCTCAATTGAAAATACAGTTTAGCGTTTGCTATTGTTTCCATATAATCTGTTTCAAACTCTGTAGATTTCGTGGTATTTTTCGATGTAGTGGAATCATTACAGTCTTAAGTCTATTCACAAATTTTGACCACTTTGAAACGTCTTTACTGCCGTTCTAAAGCCAAAGCCACTTCTTTGCAAGTCACACATATCTGCCTGTTTTTCATTGTTTATGTTTCTTCCTTATGTCTCGTGACTGTAACTTAAATCACCTTTTCAAATGATCTTGACTCGCCAGGCATAATGCCTGTTCATGTTCAATGGGTGTTCTCTTCTTTATTTCAACATTTCCCATTTTTTCATCGTTTTGTAGTTTAACTTGTAATATAATGTAGTAGAATTATTCCGAATATACGAAGATGTTACCTGCAAGACTACCGATTTTAAGCTGAAACTTCATTTTTTTAAGGGCTGAATCAACTAGCAAATCAAAGACGCATGAACAAGGTAACACACTTCCAATTATTTCTGTTGTTACACCCCTTAAGCCTCCCTTTAGCGATGGCCCTGGACACAAGACAAGGGAACGAGCCCGGCTCAGTAATAAGGGTCGTGGACAACAGATCCTTAGGTCTTTGGTTCGAGTTACTCATGACCAAGACTTCGCTTAGCGTGTGAGGGTTCGCCAGCTCTTTATTATTTCAGGACCCTGCTCGATAAGCAAAGCTTCTCAGTGTCCTATAACCTATTTTCGGAAGCTGGGTTATAACAAATACAATAACAATGATTTTCATACCTGTGCCTTGGATGTATGTCTGTATTTTAATAGTTACTGATTTTTTCTTAATTGTGAAGTAGAAGATTTTCAGATTCAAAAAAATGTTTATCAAATAGATTTTTTAGAGAACTACTGATACGCTGCCGAAATATCATTTACTTTGATCAGTTATTCCGTTGTTTGTTAAATCTGTTAATCTGGCCTGTTTTTACAAATGAGCAAAACAATTTCGTTTTAGATCTCTTACGAATTTATTGATAACAACAAGTACAATCCTTTCGGTCATTTTGTCGTTGAACGAAGTTGATCATCGTTTAGGAAAATCAGCAATTGTGAAAGCTTATTTTTTTTAAATCTGTAATAATTTCGTACAGAAGAAGAAGTTGATGACGATACTCAAATGATGCAGATGATGGGGTTTTCTTCGTTCGATACGACCAAGGTAAGTCATTGAATCCTTTATGCAGCCAGCTTGGGTCCTATTGCACAATGACTATGTCCTCCTGTAATTGATAGACCTTGTATAAACAGATTGTTTCCTGTTTCTCATAGCTATTCAAATGATTTGATTGATATGCCAGCTTGTTTTTGTTGATTTTTATCATATTAGCCGTAAGCGTGTAAAGGTAAATTTCTTATAAAGCTGGAGCTTACCCAGTTTATTTTGCCATAGGATAATAGCGCTTCTTACTTGTTGTTTGTCAATAGGCCTAGTTCACTAACCATTTTGACCTTCTTGCTATCGATAGAAGGAATTACAAATAGTAATGTATCGGCAGTGCCTAATTCTGGCCAATTTTATTGAGCAAGAGTCGTGACTTTCGTAGTCAAATTTATTTAAGCATACTTTTATTGAATGCTGCCTTTTTTCTGACCATCACAGGGGAAACATGTGAAGGGGCAAATGGAAGGCTGTGTTAAGATCGAGAAAGCAAAGAAATACAGGTATGAATCTCAGAAGCATTTCACTTATGTCTTTGTCTCAGTTAGATAATAACATGAGAAAAATGATTCATTGTCTGTGTACGATGAAAGGTAATAGAGTTTGAACACGATGGCGTCTTTAGAACAAATTTCAAGAACTTTCGAATTTGGACCACTAAACGTGAACTTACGCATTGAAATACCTGTATACATGCATTGTCAATTAAATGTGTTGCAAGTTAGCCTATATATGATAACATGGCTCTTTCCTTATCTAATTACTGTAATTTACTGTAGTTCTAAAATATGCAAACAAGCAAAAAGAACAATGATCCATTTGCAGGACCTTAAGGCATTTGACATGCATAAGTACAGCAAATCCAAAAATAACTCGATCAGAGCACCCAAGTTTGAAAGGAATTTGAAACTACTCACGTGAAACCACTCTAGGGTTTCGCCGATTTGCAAATGTTGATGCTAGTCTATTACGTTTCGAATCCTTTGGTCAAGTATGGCGTTTTTTGCCAGATTGGCTGATAACTATGACAATATTCAATTTAAGATTGGCTGCGGCCCGAACTCCCAAGCTCCTAAGCTCCCAGTTCCTCAGCCTTGCACCCCCAGTCTTGCAACCCTAGCCTTGCACCCCCAGTCTTGCAACCCTAGCCTTGCACCCCCAGCCTTGCACCCCCAGCCTTGCATCCCCAGCCTTTAACCCCCAGCCTTGCAGCCAAAGCCTTTACTCCGAGTCTTGCAGCCTCAGCCTTAAACCCCCAGCCTTGCACCCCAGCCTTGCACTCCCAGCCTTGCACCCCCAGCCTTGCAGCCCAAGCCTCTACTCCGAGTCTCGCAGCCTCAGCGTTAAACCCCCAGCCTTGCAGCCGCAGTCTTTAACTCTCAGATTTGCAGCCCCATCTTGGCAGCCCCTTGACCCGTATGCTTGTGCATGAATAATCAACACTTCTGCAAAGAAATGAGGCATAAAATTCTAAAAACGTCTGCCGCATCTACATTGAAGAATTGTGTATTCACAAGAAACAGTCGTCAAACCTGTTTCCACAGTTAACTTACAAGCCCGCTTTTCGTCATGTGCTAAATAGCCATCCTTGCCAAAGAAATCTCTACATCACGCCTTTCGTCTGAAAATCGGTCTTTAGACTTTTATAGTTTATAAAGGAAGGATGTCAAGTGATTTTAGCCGTATTATTAAATCACTCACGTTGAGTTCCATGCTTATTACAGATTGATTATTGGAAATCTGCCTTAACTTTTTTGTAAACGTCTTTCGATTGCTATCATAATTTGTGAGCTCTTCTCATCTTTTTTTATTCCATTTATTATATTCAAAAAGAAGGTTCTTGGCGCATAATCTCCAATGCAAATTTTTACGCCGGCTATTCTGACGAAGGATGCTTCACCAACTTTGTCGGCAAATGGAACCTGGAACCCCCCCCCTCCCTGAGCACAATAGCTAGCGACGACCCTGGGAAGAGTAATTGTGTTGTTGGTGTCCTAAACCGTAAAAAAATCTAAATGATACGGAGATTTTGAAAACCTCATCCTATCTCGCTGGCTGCTACGCCCGCCCCCAGTTATAAATAAATCTAAGAAATATCAAGTTCCCCTGCATTTATTTATGTTATACCCCTCGCACAAAAACACTTCGTAGTAATCACTAAACAAATGTTTTCTTTCAGACAATACATGAACAGAAGAGGTGGATTCAATCGCCCTCTTGATTACGTCACGTGAGAGCTGTAGAGCCATCTCGATCTGGTCAGAACTACCGTAAATTATCAAGAAACTGCGCATTTGCTGTTTACAAAGGACCTGTGTATATATTGGTAACTTAAGTTGCAGGTATTTCAGTAAAGATTATATGAACTCTCTCAATTTGCGACATCTTATATTTTGTTGTTGTTATTGTGTATACATGTTCATTTTCACATTGTGTCTCTCCTGCCTATTTGATTGGCTTCCGTGACAGATTAATTTCTGAAGCAATTTCATTCTGGACACAGCTTTTTCAATTCAAGATTACTTATTTGTGCACTATGCATATTTAAAACCAATCAATGATATCAAATTTCAACGCAAATAGGCCTAAGCTGATACAATAGTTTTTATAACTGATTTTTTTATCCAATCCTATCAATTTCTATTTCTAAGGTTTCCTAGAAATTTTTAAGGCAATATAGTGCAACAAATACGATGTTTGTTTGAAAATATCATGGGCTAATCCTGTTTATTCCATTAGTTGGAAATGGTCTTTGGAAAGATGGGCATGTAATCCTCAAGGCAGCACCAGTTTGCCCATCGTTAAGATATCTGTTGGTATCGCGGTTTTCTTGTCCTGGGTCAACCAGATTAGTCACAGAAGGCAACATTTAGCGGTCTCTTTATAATAAAAACTTTGGATATAAAAGTTGGTCGATATGCAAGTTATTCTCATTAAACATTAGGAACAGTAAACCTCGGATATCGAATGTTTTTCTTTGGAAAAAACAGCTGCTGTGATAAGTGGTTTGTGATGGACTGTTCGCCCACCTCTTTGGTTGAAACGATTTAGCTACTCTCTTTATCATAATAATCAATTGTCACCATAGCTATCATAACAAATCGCCTTCATCAGCAATCACTATCATCACTAATCATCATAACCACTAACAACCAGCTTCTCGATCTTCATCTATCACCAACATCCCTATCAATCATCGTGCTGAACGGCATAATCATCAATCGTCTTCTTAATCATCACAATCCTTATGGCCTTAACCATCATCTTAATCCTTTTGGCCTTATGGTCTTCAGTTCTTTCTCAATTGTCGTAGTTAATACCGAAACAACGTGAATTGCCTTTATGAAGTAATATATTCAAATTTTAAGTATTTTAACACCTCGATACTGCTTGTTCTCTTTTTCGTCATCTTCATCAATATATTTAGTGCTTTTTATGATAAAATGAACATACGATTCATCAATTTTCTTAACTATTCACTCTTATTATTTGTGGAACCTACTGCAAAAAGTCTTGCAGATGCTTTGCCATGAAAACAGACTTTAGGTGAATCAAACCATTTTCGTTTAGACTCACATTTAAGGTAGAATTTCAGCAAGCCTGATTTTTCTAGATAGAAAAGCAAGGTCGATGTTCTATTAACTTTGTTATAAACCGAAGAGTACCGATTTGTATGATCCGATCCAACTAAAAACTGTTGAAAAGCTTTTCTATATAATTTCTTCAAAAAGAATTACATTCTTTTTTTATAAGAACACAAGCCGCAAAATTGGTCAATAGTTAATGACAAGTTTAGAACAGGCTGAGGCTGTGGTAAGATGCAATTTTGAACAACGTTGTGAAACCCTCTTATAAAATTTAATCTTAAAAAACGAGGAGTTTTCTCACTCGTTTCCCACTTGTTGGTTAATAGGACCTGAAGCACGACAGCTAGCAACTTGCACTGCTTGCAGCCTAATAATTTAAGAATAAATTAAGAATAATCCAGCCTCAAATTTTTTGGTAAAATTAGCAACAGCCAGCCTGAACTTCATTTTACTCATTCCTATAGAAAAGCAGTTCAAATTAGCAGTTCATGCTTGCAGAGAAGTTCTTAGAATCTTTTTAGGCCATCGTGATCGCAACCTTTTTTAGTTAACTGATGTCGGGTTCGCATTCTAAATGGAGTTTTGCAGGTGCTCAGTTTTCTTTTAAGACTATTTGATCAATAGCTCAAATAATTCGTCAGGTGTGATTCTCAATATCTTGAAACACTTGCATTGTGAGACACAATTTTCTCGTTGAAGCGAAAATCAGCGCCAGATAGCTGTTGTTTTTATTTTTCCGTGGACGTGGTCGCTGCATGTGGCTGTTTGATTTGCAGTTTATCGTATCCAGATGTACTTGGCGCCGCAATTTCTCTCTGATTTTCTTTTGTTACTTAAAATCCCATCAGTTACATCGCATTTTGCATGATATCCTCAAAATCTTAAATCTTCATATTTTAAATACTTTAACTGGTCTGTGCTTTTGTGTGAATCCTATATGATTATCTGGTGCTGAGCCGAAATATTCTGTGTCTGGGTGATAAATTTTTCGGTCTATCGATCAACGTCTTAGACATCTTGCATCATTTTTTGCTCTTTTTTCGCAGGCCTTTTCAATAATTTAATTGAAGATAATCATTAAGAGGAGGAAAACAGCATTTTAACAGAATTTTGTAATACTTTCATGTTTGGCCTTTGCAGTTTGCTATCTGTTTAACATCTATCAAATTCAGAACTTACAAAAACTCCCAATGGTTCAGTGAACAGTCTGTACTTACAGCAAGTCTGTAGCTGCAAATTTTACTATAAATACTTGCATTGTTAAAGACAAAGACGTTTGAACGGAAAAGGCCTACAAATACGCAAAATGATCGATAACGAGCAATCTCAAAGTTTTTTAGCACTACGGCTTTTTTCTCCGCCGAACAAGTGCAGTTTTAAAGACAACTTAATGGGGGTAACATATAATTTTTACCAAATCATCATTTTCTGCAGGTAACATCAGTTAAGCCATTTGCACTAAGATGACTTCAGCCATCGTCAATCAACTATTAGCCAATCAAAAAGCGTCTGCCTTGTGTTGTGCTTATTGATTGGTCAATTTTTGATTGACACATGGCATGAAGCCACTTAAGTATCTGTCGATTGGCTTCAAGAGGAAAAGTGATGTAGTTTTGTAGTAATGCGCTTTACGCAAGACGACGTTATTTCTAATCATTTTTTTTTCAGTTCATACATATTAAAAGTTTTGAAGCTTTTTGGACTTGTTACAGATCTTTTTATCAGACTTAGACTGCCAATGGTGTGTTGGTTTTTGAGTGTTTTCTTTGTCTCGGTAGAAAAATAGATTTGTGTTGAAAACGAAAACGGCCTACACACACGACTACTGTAATATGAAATTCTATTTTCTATATAGACATTAATAGACCTTTAGGCCAAATGACCTTAAGGCTCGTGCGAATAATAGATTGCTTCATAGCTATAATCAATCATTAACATCAATCACCAATCAAGATCATCAACCCTAATCAGCCTTCGTCGTGAATCACGAATCACCATCATCAATCATCATCAAAATCAGAACCACTATCACCATCAATCACCTCCAATCATCACGATTTTTATCATCATAAATAAGCATCATCATCATTAACATCATCGTCGTGGCACCCAACTAGTTACATCGGGATACCTATTTTTCGTGTATTCAAATAAAGTCTAGAAGAACTGCAAGTTGAAAAAAACTACCAAATTGATTCATTATCTTCAAAATCCATCAATGAACCCTATTAGTTTTAATACGATGATACGTAGTTCTTGTTCATTATTTAAAATTTCCTTAGGAAACCCGAAAAGAATTATACATAATTACAGATGCTTTCTTGTCTTTAAACTGATGTCGTTTGCCACACTCCATTGTTGACCCGGGCTGGAATGTAAGATGGAGACAGCAAACAACGCTCATCTGAAAATCTCCTGTCGCGATTATCTGCCACGGACAGCCTGCTTGCTGCTCTACCCACGTGCCTAAGCACTTCTCGCTCCCTGCTCTGATCCTCGGAATGGGCATGAAGTACAGTGGAAGACAGGGTAGATCGGATGGAGGCTGTTCTCTGGCGCTCTACGACCTGCTCTCTGCAACACGAACACTTGAACAACAGCTTTTTAAAAGCATGGCGATAGTCAGGGTATCGATATGCATATATGATGGGATTCATGAGGCTGTTGGCGTAGTGCATATACTTAACAACAGGAATGAGAGGATAAAGATAATGCCCGTTTGAGCAAGGGCAAGCATGGTGCAACAGAATGTTCAGCAAAAAGAATGGAAACCAACAAGTCAAGAAAAGGACAATGACTATCCCAATCATAACAGCCAATCGCATCTCTTGTTTGAATCTCCAGTGATTTTCTTGCCGTGTTTTCATTGTAAGAAAAATCAGAATATAAGATGTGATGATAACAACTGTTGGAAGAATGAAAGCAACAACAACAACCAAGTAAGTGAAACTGGGCCAGATGTTCATAATCTTAAGTGAGGAGAGAGCAGCGAGCGCAAGAGATAGCCCCCAGACCATGATGACGCCAACCACAATGACTCCGCGCTTATGTGCTATATTCCGGTGCTTTGCCGGGAAGCGAACGGCATACATTCTCTCAAGGCTAATCACAGTGAGGTTCATAATTGACGCAGATCCACAGACTATATCCAGTCCGAGGTAAATGTAATATGGCGCAGAGTTTTCAAGAAAGTAACCTAAAATCAATAATATCATTGTGCAATAGCTTGGACAATGTAAAATTTATAACAGATTCATTTTATGGTCTCAGCATTAGTGCGTTCAAACAGGTGTAGTGGAAAAATTCCAGATTGCCGAGTTTTAAAGCATCGAACGACCTAAGAATCAAATACTTTAGAGTCGTGAAACTACCTAATTCGTGAATATAATTTCAGGAAACATAATTCTACTTCATAAGAGTAGCCAGTGTGATCAGATGATTAATTTAAGTGCTGAAAAATTTCAAGATTTGATATACTATTACTGAAACTGTATTAAAAATAAAGTTATTTGCAAAATCTTATTTCTCTGTTAACTTGTTGATATGCGTCTTGGAATTGAGAAATATGACCACGAACTGAAACGCAAATAACCATTCTTTTTATCATCAATGTTTTAAGTTATAGATAGCCAAAAAAGATTATGAAGAGTGGATAGTTAAACAAAACGAGGCTTGGAAAAATACGTATTTACTAATCTATAGATAACGGTGAAATTACCTCAAGACAAGCCTAACTTATCGTGAAAAAATATCGCAAGATTGTATGCAAATTTGTGGCATAGATAGATAAATACACATACCCATTCTGAAAGCGACCCAAAGTGGCAAGGAGAAGGCGCCGACCAAGATGTCTGACATGGCAAGACTGATGACAAATGAGTTTGTGATCGTCTTAAGTCTTCTGCTCACAGCTTTGAACGCTAAGCAGACGAGGCTGTTGCCGACTAGGATCGTCCCAATGAGCAACGCGAGCACGACCAGTTCAAAGTAACTTGCAGTAAATACCTCTTTGATCGGTTTAAATGCATTCCCGGCAGTTGTATTATTTCCTCTCAGATTGACTGACAAGTTAACATCAACTCTTTCAGGCCTCATATCTGCACAAACTACTTGATGACCTAGAACAAAGCGCTGTATTAGAAAAGCTGTCTTAATTTACATTGCTCAAAGAATTGGTACTGCAACAAAATCGGAGCAAAATTGTTGTCCCGGCAAGTTTATGGAGAAATGATTGTAAAACCAATGCGTTATGTTAATCTTAATCTAAAATTTAACCTGTCATAGCATTACAGAAATGGAAATGTTCGGCTTTAGTTGCAATCATCTGCATATGGTTATCGAGGCAGGTCGTTGTTCCATCTGTTTCCAAGCATATTGTAGACGGTTTCAGTCAATTTTAATTATTATTTTGCTATGAATAATCTCCAAAAACTGTGTGAAGTTAAAGATAAGTTTTCCGATACACATATATTTAAATAGATCAAGATTTGCAATGTTCTGCAACCGAATTAAAATCGTTCTGAAATAAGCGTTTTGATTTCAAAATGAATTTGATAATGTCTCTTGATAATTTGATATTGCGAGAATATTGTTTATAAAGAATATTAACCTAATTGAGACTACCGGATGTTATCGTGATAGGATCGAATGAAAATTCCCTACCACCTTTTAATTAATTGGCATATAAATTCACCACCGCTTCTCGTTATCGTTTGCTGTAAATCGATAAAATATATCGAACTTCGTTATCCTAAAACCTATAAACAAATGGTTATAAAAATTCAAAATATTCTTACCAGAAAGTCACTCAATCATCAAATTGTTGTAATTGTGGTTTAGCGCGTACCATTTTTAGTTGTATACATCTTTCGGCATCGTCATCCTCTAACCCAATGAAGTAACAGGTCTTGCTCTTGACAATTGCTCTTGCGTTTCGTTTGCATATATCTTTATTTTGTTGTTTTTATTATGAATTATGGGAAAATAAGAAGGCTGGAATATAGTTGTTTTGATTAAAACGAAGGAAACGCAAATTGCTGGCTGTGATCCCACACAGGCTGTATGCTCTCGAGAAAAACAGAGTAAGCAGCTGCTTCCTTTATCGTTACGTCATCAGCTACAGTGACCAATTGCTGTAAATGGAAAGGAGATTTGAATTTTCAAACGTATGATAATTTATGTTAATTATGAGGCACACATGCTCAATGAGATAAGCACAGGAGATTAAAGCATGTCATTCTCACGTGGTTTTCTTTTAGACTAAAGTTTTTCTCACACAAACGAAGTATGTCTTCTAGAGCACGAATTCTGAGTAGCAAGAACCGCAACGAGCAAAAGTTATCAAACCAAATGTCAATCAACGCAATGGAAACAACTCAATCGTGAGTTTATATATCTCAATGTTTGCTTCTTTGATTTCCAATTTGGGATAATTGAGCAATTTACAATAAATATTTTATACAAGGTAAACAAAATTTTACATCTTTATAAAGACTTGAAAAACTATCCCAACAAAAAAGAGCCATATATTTGCAAAAAAATCTTGAAGCAAAACTTGTGAACTCCAATGTGTCTTTAACCTCTAAACAACGGCGATAATAGCAGATTAGAAAGAAGATAATTAGGAAGCATCTCGAGTCCATTACAGGACGCCGGCAGAAACAGAACACCGTTTTGCTTTCGTTTCCTCGCGCAATCCTTCAATCCGCCTGGTTTTTTTCTTAATCTGTTACAGTCTGTGTTTTCATAATCCGAACATTTTAGTGATTCTGTTTTGAAAGTCTTATCAGCTGTAAAGCTTCACTTTGTTTTTGTTGCTGCAGCAAAGCCGTTGCTCTGCTCCTAATCCACTCTATGTTTTATTCCCCTTAGGTCTAGTTTTGTGCTTCTCTGTTAACTTGTGCCAAACTCAAGAATCGTAGTTTTACAGGTTACAAAGATCTGCTCAACACTGAGATCACTATTTCACCTTCGTGAAGGAACTTTTCGGTTTATCTTCAGAAATTCCTTCAACAAAAGCAACAATACAACAATCTACATCAACAACAGCAGCAACAACAGCAGCCATAACAGCAGCAACAACAGCGCCAACGACAGCAGCAACAACAACATTGAATCTCTTTCCCCGTAGTTTCAATGTTTGATTCCACAAATTTCATCACAAGGGCAATATTAGATTTTCTTTATCAACGACAGTTCCCTGCTTCAGCCAACGACTGATATGTTTCTAAGCCATAAGAAGTAACATGTAAGTCCTATGCTATAAAGTGAGATAACAGCATCAGATCTATAGAACCGCAGGTAAAATTTAAATTTTTTTACAGATACGAAGCCTGGCCGCTATCGCAACAAATCACAGCTTTTAACATGAAGTACTCTGTAAGGAAAGGACGATTGGGACAAAGAAGAGCGGTAAAAAGACCAACGCGAACGTTTGGAGACAAGTTTTGGATCGAGATTTTGAAAGGATACTCAACATTACAGACATGAGAAAGCCTAAATGTTTCAAACCGAATGCGAGCAGACAAGTTGACGTACAACAACATTCAAATGAAAATCGAGGGTGAATGAGAACGGATCCCAAGAAGATGGTGGGAAGGTGATTTTGAATGGATGGATGGTGCTTGCATGCGGTTAAGTAAAAGAAACTACGAAGATAACAATTTACGCTATAAATATACTTTCCATTGGCATGAAAAATTTTTAAGAAAGGGCGCTTGTTATTTTGGCAAATTTTTCTGAATATAATAGAATTTACCTTCACGTCGTCCTATACTTATATATTCTTGATACTGCCAAATGATTTCATTCAGAACACATCGCTAAATGACATCACCATTTGTTTGTGAAAATAGTCAAGGCCATCAGAGGCGCCGGAAGATTCATGATGCGGCGGGGGCAGGACCGACAGAAAGAGCACCTTGGGGTGTCAAAGTTTGCTGATGAAGCAGATCGGGAATCTTCGTTTAGTCAATGAAGAAAGCCTGGTTGTAGGTGAAGGCTCTGTCAAGGGAGAGAGGACTATCGTGCTGGAGGCGTAGCCCCTAGGGAGGTTTTGCGTTGATACGCCCTAAAGACTCTCGGAAATGAAGGCAACACCCATAAAAAATACTTTAAATCAAGACTACAGTCAAACTGCAATCTCGAAATTCCTTTCACCCCAATATCAACCATCAAGGGAGGCTTAACCCAAGCCTGTTTTAAATTAAGACAAAATTTTGTTCTGATGACCATCTACATGGATTGATATAACATTTGGATATAACTCCTCTGAACTTACTTTTTTTCTTTCTTTATTTAATGATATACAAAAATTGTTTTGGCTTAGTTGTGTGAAATGCCGCCGAGAGGTCATGTAGGCCCTTTGCGAGCGAAGAGACCAGAAAATTTTTGGCGACCATGCCTTTTAGATTGCCTTGAAATTCATTTCGGAATATTTTTTGCAGTCACCTTCTTGCAATCGTTTAAAAAGTTGCACAATTTTGTTATGTCTTAAAAATTGCTTCACAAACTGGAAACCTTGGGAGCGCCCTAAACCTCAAGGCCCATGGCCAATTTTCCATCGCCACAACCTTACGATAACCCTTGATGTGAGTTTGTTTTTTGGTGTTTCTAAAAGCAGATCGAAAAGAAACATTTTAAATCATTGCCCCAAAAGTCACCCCTTTGTTCATTTCGTATAGCTCCTAAGCAATCCAAGGGCACTTTTTGGTTATACAAATGGCAAAAAGAGCAACTCGGTGAGCTGCAATGGGGCAGGTAAACTGAATTTTGGAAAAAGGGGGATACGAGTGCACTGTGCCCCTCGGTTCCTACTCACTTGCTTGAATTTAAAACATCATTGATGCCTTGACTGATATATCAAGCATGTTTTCGATCTATGTTCTAACGTTTTAAACTCATGTCAGACGAGAAGCTCTAGTATGACTCAAAATGATTACTCTTTTCAAACCCGCTTTGAATAAAATTAGCATTTTATCAGTAATCAATAACAAGCATAATAGCAGAGATTGATCTACCCATTTGTTACAAGTTACGATAAATAGTGAATAATGCTTTATTTTTCACGAGTTTTTAATCTATGATTACAAAGTGGCAAAGTAAATATGACACTGCAAGGAAGTACAAAAAGTCTTGGGAAGCGCAATATGTTTGGCTTACAGAGTCTAGTGACAGAGAACTGTGCTTTTTTTACTGCGCTTGCGCATTATGACGTCACTGTGTTATGGGTAATTTCGCCTACATATACGTGATTTGGCCTATTTTCAAAAACAGTTTGGCTACTTAGTACCCAGACCACAAGACAACCCTGCTTTTGGTAGGAAATCTTTTGGCCAAAATATTGAAAAGCGGATAAAGTAAACTTCTTGTTGTCCTTTTTTTTATCTTTACTCAACTCAATGCTATTGATTATTTTAATCAAAAACAAAAAATAATAAATTTACTTTCGTATCGTCTTATATACATCTTAACTCAATACTCCTGGACGTTTTTAATGGAACAAAACTAATTGATATGACCATATTTTTGTAGTAACGCAAGCCTATAGGTTTATGAAAATGTCAATTTTGCAGGAAATGCTTTCTTCCCAAACACTGAAAAATGAATGAATTTACCTTCTTGTTGTTCTTTAGTCATCTTTTCTCGATGATGCCAAGGGTTTAACTCAGAAAACAGCGCTAAATCGTTTGGTTATTTTTAGTAAAAATGCAAGGCTATAGGCTTAGAAAAATTTCAATTTCTAGCAGAAAAACGTTTTGCATAAAACAATGAATGAATTTACATTCTTATCTTCACACATTGATCTCAACTCCATGCTATTGAAGGTTTTTTTAAGAAAAACATTGCCAAATTGTATGGCCACTTTTTGCAAAATGGCAAGGCAATAGGCTTAATAAAAGAAACTTTTTGCCAGGAAATGTTTCCGCCCTAAAACACTATACAAAATGAATGAACTTACCTTCTTTTCGTCCTACATTCACCTTCACTCAATGACATTAATCTTTTTTATAAAACATCGCTAAATTTTGACCATTTTGACGTAAAAATGCAAGGGTATAAGCTTACAAAAATTGCAATTTTTGCCAGAAAAGTCTTTTGCACAAAACAAAAACATCAATAAACTTTTTTTTCCTATTGGTATATATTTACCATTACGCAATGGTATTGGATATTTTTATGAATAAAACATCGCTAAATTGTATGACCATTTTTTTGTAAAATTGCAAGGGTTTAGGCTTGAAAAATGTCATTTTTGGCAGAAAATGTTTTTGCCCAAAACAAGAAAATCTAATGAATTTACCTTTTTTATCATTCTATATTCTTCTTTATTCAATTCTTTTAGATTTTATTATGAACAAAACATCGCTAAATTGTATGAACATTGCAAGGGTTTAGGCTTGAAAAATGTCATCTTTGGCAGAAAATGTTTTTGCCCAAAACAAGAAAATCTAATGAATTTACCTTTTTTATCATTCTATATTCTTCTTTACTCAATTCTTTTAGATTTTATTATGAACAAAACACCGCTAAATTGTATGAACATTATTTTGTAAAATTGCAAGGGTTTAGGCTTGAAAAATGTCATCTTTGGCAGAAAATGTTTTTGCCCAAAACAAGAAAATCTAATGAATTTACCTTTTTTATCATTCTATATTCTTCTTCACTCAATTCTTTTAAATGTCATTATTAACCAAACCTCGCTAAGTTGTATGGCAATTTTGGTGTAAAAATAAAAGGTTATAGGCTTACAAAAATGTCAATTTTTGCTAGAAAAGGCTTTTGCCCGAAACATAAACATATTAATGAACTTATTTTCCTATCGGCTAACATTATAAAACATCGCTAAATTGTAAGACCATTATTTTGTGAAATTGAAAGTACTTAGGCTTAAAAAATGTCAATTTTGGAAGAAAATTTGTTGCCAAAAACAAAAAAATCTGATGAATTTACCTTTTTATCACCCTATATAATATCATTTACTAAATTCTTTCAAACGTTTTTTATAAAATAATCGCTAAATTGTATGGCAATTTCGGCACAAAAATACAAGGGTATAAGCTTACAAAGATGTCAATTTTTGCCAGAAAATGTTTTTTCACAAAACAAAACAAATTATATTTATCATTTTTTATCTTCCTTTATTCACCCTTTTCAATGCTATCAAATGCCTTTATGAAAAGAATATTGCTAAATTGTATGGCCATTTGTTTGTAAAAATGGTCAAGGCTATAGGCTTGCGAAAATATCCATATTTGGCAGGAGAAGTTTCTTGCCGAAAACTTTGAAAATTGGTCGAATTACCGTCTGGTATTAATTTTAATCGATGGTGCTAAAGTTCATTATTCAGAAAACAGCGCTAAATGGTTTGGAATTTTTCATAAAGCCTATAGGCTTGCGAATATGTCAATTTTGGCAGGAAATATTTTTGCCCAAAACATTGAAAAGCGAATAAACTAACCTTCCTATCGTTCTCTCTTCATCTTTACTCAATAGCATTGATTGTTTTGTGGGGAAAACATCGCTAAATTGTATTGCAAATTTTTTCGTGAAATGCAAGGCTATAGGCTTCAAAAAATGTCAATACTGGTAGGAAATGCTTTTTCCGAAAAAATAAAAATTGAATGAATTTACCTCCTTTAAAGTATGTTATTCAGAAAACAGCGGTTAATGCTATCGTAATTTTTTCACAAAAAAGCAATGCTATAAGCTAACGAAAATTTTAATTTTTTGCAGAAAATATTTTTGCCCAAAATATTGAGAAGCGGACGAATTTAAATTTTTACTTCCCTATATTCGTCTTTACTCAATGACATTAATTGTTTCATGAGGGCAACATTGCTTAATTGTATGGCTAACTTTCTTAAATTGGAAGGCTATAGGATTAAGACAATTTCAATTTTTGCCAGGAAATGCATTTGCACATAATACTGAAAAATAAAAGAGATTCTTTCTTAATGCCCTTTGATTATCTTTCCTCGATGTTATTTAATTTTTTTACGAAAACATCGCTTAATGGTATTATCATCATTTAGTAAAATGCAAGGGGAAATTGCGCTAAAGTGAATTAATTTAAAAGATATACAGGAACAAAGCAATACGACGACGAGAATCCAATGTAACGAGATAAAATTTTCAAAATAAATTGAATTTAAGGAATATACTAATATTTCGCCCCGGCATACAGAGCTTCATCAGAGTAAATGAAACGACAAGTGAATGAATTTGAAATGTGAGATGTGAATGGTGTGAATGCAGCTCAGTGGAGAAAAAAAGGATGATGAAAGTGGGGGAGGGAAGGGAGGTGGGTGATATAAGGGGATGATAATGATGACTATGAATATGAATATAGAAAAACAACAATAATAATGGTGTGGTGTGGGTTGTGAGGGCGGCGTGATAGGTGATAAGTTGTTTTGTAAAGTTAACGGTCGGTGGTTCTGTTCAGGCCGTTGGGATGTTCAAAGCTGATAAGGATGGCGAACGGTCTTGATTGAGAGGCAGTGAAAACTAAATTGAATGAAATAGCCAATAGCTCTCGAGCAAGATACGATGTGGATAAAATTTGAAATGTGAGATGGTGGTGCCAGATTGGTGGATGTTGAATGGAGTGAATGCAGCGCAGTGGAGAAAAAATGGGATGATGGAAGTGAGGGAGGGAAAGGTGGTGGGTGATGTGAAGGAATGTGGGTGGTGCTGTGGAGATTGATTCAATGGGATGATAATTTACCCTCTTATCGTTCTATATTCATCTTTATTTGATGCTACAAAGGGCTTTTATTCCGATAACTGCGCTACATGGTGGTAAAGCCATTTTGTGAAAATGCAAGGGTATAGGCTTAAGAAATTGTCACTTTTTGGCAGGAAATATTCCAGTCTTAAGCATAGAAAATTGAATTGAACAAGCATAGAGAAAATTTCCATTTTATCATCGTATATTCATCATAATTTGACATTTTTGAAGGTTCTCAAATGCTTTAGTTCTAGAAATATGTCAATTTTTGACAGGGTGTGTTTATTCCTTCAACATGGAAATGTTTATCACTCAAAAGACACTTCTAAACCGGCCTTCTAAAGACATATTTGATGGATTCTCTCCAAATCCGTTAAGTTATCCACAGAAAATAGGGCGTTTTAATACAAAAAACATAGAATTGGCAAGCAAAACTTTAACAAAAAGACCGTTTTGGAAATTCCTTGAAGTGAAGATAGCTAAGAATCTACGCAACATCTTATTTCAGAAACATATTAGCAAATTCTAAAACACTGAACCGCAAAGCCGAAACCTTGAAGATTGTCTGAAAGGTCATAATGATATCTTTGCGAAACCTATCGATCTACTAACATGAAAGTGATAAAAAGTTCTTTATCTACAAATGTGTTGGATTCCAAATAGATAAGTACCTTGAAGATCAGGAACCGCGCAAATCAAATTTTCTGCGTAACATTTCATTTAAAAACGCATTGCAACATATAATGTTTTTGAGGGATTAATCGAGGTAAAACGCTAAGAACATAGATAGGTATATCCTGAAGATAATAATTGGAAGTTTGAAGCACGAACACGATTTGGCAGACGGTTAGGAAAAGCTTAGCAAAGCCAGATTTCCATGTATCACCAAGTGCTTAAGTTAGATCTTTAGGAATATTTTGAAATGCTTCTTCAGAGCAACGGGGCCAAATTTCTATGTGCTAAAAATCTGTTAATGAATTTTTCATTTTCCACTCTCAGAGGTGCAGAGGTCAGAGGATACGAATTTACCCAGTGACAATAAACCCAATTGTAAATAGGCCTTTACTTAAAGAGCCTGAACATTAGACGGCTCTGTCATTTCATAAGCGTTATGTAATTTTATTCTTTGACCTGGATAAACATTAGAATCACGACTTAGATTTCGCGATAACTCTCGAAATTTCGACAAACTTAAAGAATTTCAAAGATAAGGGGGGAGATAGTGATACCCCCACAGTCCCCCGGTATTTACATGCCCCTGCATCTTGTCAAAACAACCAATCTTCACTTGTCCCTTTTTACGATGGCCCCTTACGAATGCTATTGTATCAATTTATTCACTTTAATAAAATCAACTTTTTAAACTGATAATATAAAACTAGAGAAGAAGAAGGGCTTCCGTCGATGTTATTTACAAAAAATTAGCTTTTTTCCTAAGATTTTGTAAAGATGTAATAGGTGCTGTGTTCGTTCGTGATTTAACTTTATCCAAACACTCCAGTTCCCCCGTCTACTGAGTTATGTGTTGCTGTACTGTAAAACTTTAGCATACCTTGGGTATTTGGCGAGTAGCCAGTCCTTGGGCACAATGGAGCAACTATGTTGCAAAAATAACGAGCAACCGCGTGCGAATTATATTGGCTTTAGAAAAAATCCAAAGGTAATCGAAAGTGTTTCATAAAATGAGATGACAAACCTCTTCAGCTGGCAAACATCAGTAATGTCAAGCTATGGATTTGTGTTCCTTTGATGTACTGCCAGTAGATCTTCTGCACGGAAGAGATTTGAGGTTAACGTGATAATATTCGAGGAAACAAATAAAAAAAGTCGAAAGCTTAGCAAATGTTGGTAGAGTGTTAGAATACTTAACTCTAGCTCAATCATAGTCTATCCCAATTCTATAGGCTATGGTTTAATTTAGCAAAGACAAACAGTTGAGTACCCTACCAAGTACCAATTCAGACCTACTAAGCGCGGAAAGATGCAGTTGGCAGGGGGGGGGGTATTAAATCACACCGCCCAGATTCGACTGACCAATTTCACACTGAGAACTTTTACCTTTCTATCTTTATACAAGTAACTAAAATCAAGAACGACAGAGCTTTAAAGGTCATTTTTCAATGAGAAAATCTACCCAGAATTTCATACTGCAAGTCATAAGTCATTAATGCACAAAAAAATCCAAGAAAATCAAGTAGAATAAATCAAAAAGGTTTTTATAGTGTGCCATAAATCCTAAAGGGCACAAAAAGGCAAGAAATAAACGGACCTCAACCCATGATCTCCTAGCTGCAAGGACACCAGGCTGCAAACATTCGCACTACTTCGAGTGAATGTATGCACACTAGCTGCTGTCGATAACTGTCAAGAGCTAAAAATAAGCAATAAAATTATCATAATATGTCGAGTACATTTATTGCACTTATTTATTGCACACATCAAACGAATTTTTGCAAATATTTGGGATTAATTTGGAAACTGCCACACTCTTGGAAACCGGATCTCTACAATACACTCATTTTTTTATAAGAAACTGGATGTAAGAAACGAGTACTGGACAGTCAGAAAAAATTAAGAAACTTCAGTACTAGAAGCAAACAAATTAAGAAACTATTAAATCGTGATAAAACTGAGAACAACGAAATTTTGTAAAATCCAAGAACAATATTGCCCTGTTTGCCTAGAACTTAAGACACAAGGGATAAAAATATACTTCCCACATCTAAATACAGCATCGGAACGGAAGCGAATCTCTTCACGTGATAAAATTTCATGACATTATAGTTAAGAAACTCTTAAGAAACAATGAGTATTTAAACTTTCAGAACATTAAGAAACTGGAGTACTCAACATCGACCTTTGTTTCTTATAAAAAAATTAGTGCAATGAAAGAATATAGCGGGCTTTTAAAACATTTCTGAAAACTCAAGACAAACAGTGAAGTGGCTGGGAGCGTAAATTAGGGGGTGTGTGATAGTAAGGTCAATACCTTACTACATATGAAATAATTTGAAAATGTTGTTTGTTGATATTTTTTCGCTTTTTTAAGAGACTACGTAGGTCAATTCATGGAAAATCTTAAAGGATAAATTGACAAAATGTGGTGGAGACCCAGCAAATCGGAATCATCTTTTTAACGAACATTCGTGTCAAATCCGAATCAAACACATACCTTGGAAATTTCAGAACGTGCACATGTTCTTCTCTGATGTGAGCGGGGCCAATGGCAGTTGGGAAATAACCATTTCCTGCGACATAAATCGGGACATAATTTCAAGATTACACAAACCGGATAACGTGTACTACATATTGATGATATATTTTGGAATGGGCAGTACTAAAATTATCAAAACTAACACACATATATCACAATCAAAAAAGACATACATAAGGGTATAAATTTAAACGTGATTTGTAGCAATTTATCAGACACTTGCAGCCAACTCAGTCACTTCTAGATTATCAAAACTGTAAAATTAAGGGGCAACTAGACTTTTGATTGGCTTAACGTCCGTTCTCTGTTACGAGGGGCAATTCACTATTGCAAATAGCGTACGAGATTTTGCCTAAAACAAAAGGATTTCTGGGGATTTTCAGGCAAAAAAATAGGTGTACGAGATTTTTTAGAGAGGTTTACCCCTGCCCTGTTTAGTTATGGCAAAATAGTGGTGTCCCAAATAATAGCGGCACTGTGTTCTGAAAAACTAATAAATACATCTACAAATATCAAGTTATCGGACAGTGGAAACCACTCAGTTAGCAAAGCCTCGCCTTGAACAAATAAAAAGATAAACGTTTCAGTGATATCGAAAGAAGGAACGATTTTCTAAAAATGTCAGAGGTCTAAACACTTTGCCCTTGACACAAAAAGGCACTGCACAGATATAGAAATAAAACCCCGCAAATGAGAAGCTCCTTAAGTTCATTCATTTCTTGTTGTCTGTTTTTACAGCTGTTAAATTCTAGTGTTACACCACAGAAAAATTAGAGTCACCAGGTTTCACCAATATATGATAAATAAACCAAATACACCAAATATGATAAATAGTGGGACACCACTACTTTGCCACTATTTAGGTCTAAGATTCTTTGATTAATGCTAAATCGTCGATTCGCGTTCGGGAATTTACGTGAGCAGGAAGACTTATGTGAAAAGATGCCTTCTTAGGCACTCCCAGGGTAAATACTAAATTATTGCATAAAAACGTCGGTATCGACCGTCAGTGTTGAGCCCGCACTTATGAATCCCCAAAGGTGATTCCACTGCTTAAAGAAATTTTCACAAACCTACAGCTCGTGATATCAGAAAAAGAGCAAGGGAGGTTGTTAGAAAAAGATAAGATGTATTGTGACCAGACATAACCAAACAACAAAAAGAGTAAAGCAAAAAGAATCTTGTCGTTATTTTCAGCGAAAATAACCTTTTTCTTATACGTATAATATTTATTACCAAATGAATTTTAAGAATTTTTAATTTCTTCAATGTCAATCAAAAATTTTTGCTACAGTAAAATCTACCACGATTAATACTAAGGTGATATTTCTTGTAGTATAGAGAACCTTTGGCAGATTTCATAACCCTTTTTAGGAAAATTTTACAAGAAATTCTCAGCATTGGCTCAAAACATTAGGAAACCATTCTTGAATTATACTTTTAGCAAACAGCTTACTCCTAAACAATCATTGCTCGGACTGCCACTACGTCCGTCTCGGTCCGTCTACTCTAAATAGGAAACCATTTAGGGGAAATTGTCATTGGCAGTTGAAAGTGCATCGTTTCTTTTTCTACTACCCAAAAATATACAAATTTTCAAAAATGTAAAAATCTCAGTTTAATTCTAAATATTTCTCAGTAAAGATGTTTAATTCTGAATATCAAGAAGCTTTTTGTACTCGGAGGATTCTGAGGTTTATTTTCAAAGAGAATTGCATTTTAGACGTTAAAATCTCGAGTTGTTAAGGACAGGAAAATGCCAAAGAGTGTCCAGATTCTAAAGCATTTCTTCTATAACACAAAACAAAGTTGTTAATCTTTGAAGCTAGCCATATTGATGACTTTTTAGAAATTAAATTATTTCACTCCAGCCACAGTGGCTTTGGCCTCTAAATGCCAAGCCACAAAAAGTTCAATGTAAATTGAAACATTTTCGATAAAAATTGTATGGTTGACTGTTCTACTTTTAACAAGACTTTCTGTGGCTGAGCCGTTTATTAAATTAGCCGTTTATTTAAAGTAGACAGGCGAAATCTATTCAATATATTTATCACAGAGTTAAGATTGTCTCAATAAACAAGTACATTCTAGTCGAGCAATTAAACACAAATCCACTGTCATTATTCAATGAGCCAAAAAAGCCAAAACAAGCCAAAACCAGCCAAAACCAGCCAAAACCAGCCAAAACCAGCCAAAACCAGCCAAAACCAGCCAAAACCAGCCAAAACCAGCCGAAACCAGCCAAAACCAGCCAAAATTACACAGAACGACCCAAAACGATCCAAAACGTCGCAAATAGCATCGAGCAGAACGACCGTTTCCAGCCCAACCCTGACACGATAACAAGCTACAAAAATCACCATAGAACATAGATAAATCTAAATTATTTTCTTGAATGGGCAACCATCGTACTTAATAGGTAATGATGGTGATGAGAATGTGATCGACTATTATTAGGATGGTTTATACGGAAAATGCCGTTGTTGATTTTGGCCGCTTAGGCCTCTGACCATCAAGCAAAAAGAAACAGGTAAAACTGGGAGTGAAAAGAAAAGAAGTGAAAAGGTGTAACGATAGTGGTTCTTGTCATGACGGTGAAGAACCAGTCAATAACCAAGCTCGTTAGTGGAGCGATGGGCTAAGCCAAAGAGCCTAGGCCCCGAATAAGTAACGCACAAGAGATACTCCTTCGTTGCTTTGATCTCTATCGTCAAAACAGAAAGACTAAATCATTCTAACTTGGATTACATTGTATTAAAACACAAACAAAGGAACACTGTGAAACATCACATAACACGAAGACAGTGACGCACATTTCCCGGAAAGGGAGTTACTAACACTATAGCGCGACAAACAAACATGTGACATTAACAAGCAACATAATCAAAGAATCTAGCTTAATATAATAATAATGATTACTGAAGAATAAAAATCCTAAAACGTTATAAAGGAAAACATATTATCTGCTCTGCATCTAGAAGGGTGGACATCATCGCCTCGCCTCCATTTTCTGGATTTTCAACTCTCAGCCCCCGTGCACAGGACGCAACAGGCGCGAAAAATGGTCGTTCTGCTCGATGCTATTTGCGACGTTTTGGATCGTTTTGGGTCTTTCTGTGTAATTTTGGGTCGTTACGGCTGGTTTTGGCTGGTTATGGGTCGTTTTGGCTCGTTTTTGGGGTTTAGTAAAAATGTTTGCCATTGCTTGTGTCCCAAACATACTGAGCATCCAGGACTGGTTGATGATCAAAATTTAAAACAACCTTTCTTATGTTGACTCCCAGTTTAATAAACTCAGTTCCAAAAAACTCAAGATCTGTTCGATGCAGATGCACTAACAGCAAGGCCGTCGCTAGCGGGGGGGGGGGGGTGGCAAAGGGGGTGGGGCACCTCCTACAATGTTTTTGTCGGCAAATTTTCTAAAAGTAGAGTTTTGTCGGGTTTTGCTTTCAACGTTCCTAAAGCAATAGCTGAGGATGTGAACTTAAAAGTATTGCCCAAAAGCCCTCAGCAATTCAAAACAGGAAAAGATAGCGCTATGGGTGTCACGGAGGGGCAAATGTCCACCCGAAACTTCAAATGACTCACTTTCGGCAGCCGGAGTCTAGAATAAAAAAAATCGCTTCGCGCAAAGAAATTCGTCTTGGGTAAAATAGGTTAGCCAAATATGTACGCACTAGGTCCTTTGCGGCGACTCCATAACAAAAGTATGCCCAAGAATTGTAAAACATTTCAAACCATTGGAAGAAAATTGCTCCAATAATATTCTTCAATGTATTTTGAGGTAAACTAAAGGGCGTGGTCGCAAAAGTTTTCTCCTCGCTTCGCTCGCAGGAAATTCTCTTCTGAAGTCGTGCCCCAGGGCTTAGGATAACTATTAAATGCGTAGCCATTTTCACTGTCAACAAGACATTCTCATTTTATTCAGTCAAAGCGGGCCAACATGCTTGACCTTGACATTGTCCTCGATCTATTTAAAAGAAGATATCCAAAAGCAAGATCATACTGTCTTTAGCAGAAACCAAGCAATGACTGGCTCAAACTTGCTTAGCCAGTAAACGATGTACTGTACAGGGGCCTACAAGCTATGTACATCAAAACATTTGCATAATAAATTTGGGATATTTGAAACGCTTTAACGAAATTGTTAGTCTAAAGAAAGTATACCAGATTTGATTGACGGATAAAAAATTTTTTTTCCATTCATTTCAAAACATTTTAGGATTTGAAACATTTTAAAGAAACTGTAAAGGGGAGTTAATGAAATGTGTCGGCAACCATTGTTATTTTATAGTCGTCGGCACTTGAAATTCTAAGATTGTCGGCTCACCCTGGTTTGGTTTTTAGCCCCACCACTGGGCAACTCAAATCTCCATGTAGCAGGTTGAAGCCCTATTAGCCATAAACCCAAAACCGGAGTATCTTTTGGTTCCCTCACAGTAAGGCATTAGCTCGACATTTCCCACTATAATTTGTCTGATATACGTCATAGGTGTGCTACAATGGTCGAGTTTTCGTTGTGTCGTGTTTGTTTCAAACCAAACAAAAAAAGTGCAGTTTGCAATTTTCATGGCACCAAACGTGCAGCAAAATTGAGGAACTATTACATGGGCTCGGGGCATGGGAAAATTTATCACTCATAGCAGAATAATTTGAAAAAAGCTCTATTGTTTAGCAAAAAATTGTAAGGGTTATGCCGCCCCCCCCCCCCCTTCGTCTGGGGCTCTGTATTAAGAAACTTTTAGTAAAACATTCCGATGAAAAGAGGTCGAAAAAAAGGAACTTCAAGAACCAGGCCTCGAGTTAGGTTACTTATAAAAGAAGAGCGCCTACTGGAAATTCAAGTAATTTGACATAACGAGTGCCAAGTTTCTTTCCAGTTTCTGAATAAGGCACAAAAAAATGCAGACATGATATTGACCATATTCAAGTAACAGTGCTTCTTACCAGGGCCGCCGAGAGCCATACTGGGCCCAGGGCAGGCCCACTGCATTGTAGTCTATATAATAGTCTTCATTTACTTTGAATTTTTATTTGTTATTCTCTTCTAGTACAGGTATGATTTAAAATTACTGTGTCATTAAGAGTCATACTTTAAAAAGAGTTTAATTACCAGCAGGCCCTTCTTTGCTCACGGGCCCAGGGGCAATTGCCCCCCTGCCTCCCCTCACGATGGATCTGCTGCTTACATGCACCCTTACAGAACTCATAGAATCAACCCCTGCACTCTTTGCTGAAATTGACCTTATGGAACGCTAACAAATTGCACCTTGTGGCGAAGGAAATCGAGGGGACGAAGGAAGAAGTTAGCCAGAGAAAAGATGAAATCCCAGGATCTGAATTTTGCAATTCTTTATAATAAAGAGCTACTTTAAGTAGTGACTGTGCTTTCACCTTCTTGAAAAATCTTTTGCTATTGCTGTGTTCCAGCCCAGCCCTAAGATTTTCTTAGCTATTTCCTAATTTCATCACTAAAACTTTCTTAACGCTCTCTTAACGTAAAATTGGAAAATTTTACGTTACTAAGCATGCGCAGTGATGGAGAAAATAAAATGCTATAAATATGCTATATTTCTCAAAGACCTAAAACGTCATACTGTATTTGTCGTTTCCGGTTCAGTACATTACTGTATTGATGAAATATTTCACTCTTACACCACAATTTCCTTCGAAACTTTGATTCTCAAAATTTTTCAACTTTCTTAGGTTTCCATGATCCAGCCCTGAACTTTCTTAACTTTTTGAAGAACCGAGCACAATTTTCTTATAAAACACTTTCTTTGTTTCTTATCTTATACAATACTGTCCTAGTTTCTTATTAAAAAGGGTGTAGTGATATAAACTCTTAACTATCAAAAGAGCTTTTATTTCTGGTACCCGAGGGAAAATATTGGAAGACATACTGTTCATGTCAAGGAGGTATTTGTAGAAAATAATCACATAAACCCGCGAGTAAGCACTCTCTGATTAGCCAAGCACACTTTCTCTCCCCCGAACAGTCTTCTCTCCCCCCTGTTCTCCGTCAGGACAACAGTGTCTCTCTTCCAATTGAAAACTGCATTAGGCCATATACATACCGAATTTTCTTTAATAAACTCCAAGTCTAAAACAAACGGCTATCGTTTCCATGGAAATAAATCCCACTCTAATATACAGCCCATCTGATAAGCGCCTTCCTTTTATAAACGCCTACCATAAATTAAACGCATCCCTTCCGGAAAGCTACATTGCATACTGTTTTTATAAGAAACAGGGGTCGGTGTAATGTAAACCGGTTTCGCAATGCCTTGACAAATTTTAGTACAGTAATCATTGTTTCTGAAAACATTTTCTTTATCAACTCTGTATTTCCTACTCTGCGTCTCAATAGAGGAGCAAATCTCTCCATAAAGTTCTCGTACGCCTCAAAATTTTAAGTGGTTGCTGGCGTTTCAAACAAATGGTCATTAGGTCAAAATAACGGAAATAATTTCTACGTGCTCCAAAGGTCGATAGGAAGCCGACCAAGGCTTCGCGTATTGGGCAGTCTAAAACGAGTTCTGCCGAGTAAAGTAAAAGAGTTTTCGTTTCTGCGAAATATTTACGAATTTCTCCAAAACACGCTGAATCAAGTACTGTTTTTTAGCAATTGTTTATGTCTATCATTTATTAGACATGATTAGCGAAAAATAGTGCCAACAGACATATGGTATCAAATCTATTGTCTACGTTTGTTCCCGAAATCGTTTAAATATAGGGGGGATGTTAACACAAAGACGGGGCACCGACAAAGAAATTGACGAGTAGCAAATGTCAGCAGACGGAGGTAAATGATGTCGGCATGAGTGTATGGTAGCCGGGGGTCAAGTCCGATCTAAGAATAGCTTTCATTGAGAAGAGATTGGTATCGGCACGTGAGCAGTTTTCATTCACAATAATAAATTGGCTGGAAAAGAGAAATATTTGTTTTAGGCAAAACGCGCCTATATAAGTTAGCAGATGCATATAGATGGCCAGTCAATGAAATACTAGCGGAGGAACTGATCATCCTGAAATCTCAGATCTGTCAAATCAACCAACGAGAAAAAGGAAATCCACTGACTTGACGCGCTGTTATTTGACCGAAAATTGGTCGATTTGGTGTCGTGAAACATGGGCTTTCATGTGATTGGATATAAGAAGGCCATCTCTTTACTTGCTGTGCACCTCAGCATATTACAACTGTGTTGTTCCTTCGGCTTGCATTCATTCATCGGTAAGTTACGTTTAAACATTTTACAAGAAATTTTGACTTAGAAATCTGGTTTTAGAAATCTAACGAATCTTAACAGTCTGCAAATTTTGAGAAGATCCCTACATAAAAATGACTATAATCGTTTTCAATTTTTTAGGGTCTCTACTTGTTTGTTTTGCTTTATCAATCATCGAAAGGTAGAAATGAATACATTAGCTTATTTTTTTTAATAAAATAAACACTTTTCTAGACATCGAAATTTCCTCGGGCTCAAATTCTTATTCAATTTTTTTGTCTTTCCAAGTTTTTTTTAAGAGAAGAGACAAGGGTGTCGGGTCGGACAGAAGGGTCTTAGACAACGAGGCGGGTTTAGAATAGGGAAAGAAAAAACCAGCAAAACAATGGTCATCTTTATTTCATACTGTCTAAACAAAGGCTTCTATACTCTGCTCTGTAAATCTGAGATGTGGCAAATCCAGCGGAATTCGCTAATATTTGTTCTGTGACATTTGGAATAGAGAGCGTGCGTACACCAGTCACAAACTTTCCCGTGTTGTACAGAACAGAGTTTAATCGTACGACCTGTTTTTGAAACACTCTCGATATTTTCGCACAGAAGGTGAATTTTGCACCATGGCGTTTTGGAACAATGCTGCAAATTGGTACAGACTGCGTCTGTTCCTGCTTTTTTCAGAAAAAGATCTATTGTGTTGTGAGGAGCTATACAGGGCGAACCGCAATTCAGAAATTAATGGGGGTCATGCAATGATGGGCAACTCACACACAATAACTTCTTTAGGCTTTGAGCTTATCTTGGATAATTGCGCAAAGTCCGTTTTTTTCCGCAGGGCCTTCGCATCAGAGTCTTGCTGCCCAGCTCAAAATGTTGGTCAGCCAAATCCTAATAAATTAAATGAATTTTATCGGTGGGCGTCTGACGTAGATTATAAATGCTCAAGCTGGGCTTTTTTTAAACGTAACAATTTGTACCAATTTATTACAAAATTTAACAAATGTCAGGTCAGGGACTGTCTGCGCAAAAATATGTGCGAACAAACCAGATAATTTAAAAAGTTTCATGTTTTTGTCTCTTTGCCATTTAGCAAGGACCGAGATACCGGAGGGGGGTTTATGGCCAAAAAACTTAAATAGCATAAGTAAAGTATATTTATTTTGTAAAATATGGCTGTTTTTACATTTATTTATAAGGGTGCCCCCCTCGCAAACAAAAAGTTGTATCTAAGTCTTTGCCATTAAATAAAACTTTTGGCTTGCTTCTTTTGACATATCTTTTTGAAATAACCAAAAATAGCATTTGTCTTTCCGGAACAGATAGAAAATCTGGTTTGGAAGGTAATTCTGGCAGTTGTACGTTGAAATACAATGACTGCCATATAATCTCGGGTTTAAGTTGCAGCGATAGCAGTGTTAAATTATAATCGCCATAGTTACTGGGCAGTCGAAGTTGTTAATTCACACGCAATGTGGCAGCGAGACTTTCGCTTCAATTATTCGAAAGCTTTGCAACATTCTGTGGCTTTGCGGCATTGGTTATGGTCGATAATTGAAGAAAAACAAAGTTTTATGTAGTAGGGGTGCATGTGTGGGAGATGAACAGAGTGAAATACCAACAGCCCTTCAAAACACCCTAAAACTTCATCTCTTTCACTTCATTTCTTTTATTTTTGTAGGATATGTCAAGTGTCCCAAGGAATATTTCACATAATATGTCATGTTGTCTTATATATGCTGCTAGATTAAACATATGATATCTTGTACTTTTTAGTTAATTATTCAATTGTAAAAAACTGTTTCTCGTTGCTTGAATGAATGAAATTGAATTTATCCCTTCCAGATCTAAATGATACCCTTCTGAGACACATTGCTAAAGCAAATCTGTTTCACAGTTCTTAGTTCCGGGCTAAATGATTTTTCCATATTACCGGAATACATTTGTCACGTGATATTATTTCTAGGAAGTCCTCACAGGGTTTCAATGTTTCCAAAGTATTGGAAATGCAGGGTAATTCTTGATTATGAATTTGGGAAGTCGGTTTTCTGACCTAAGGTCACGAAGGTGCCACTACTACATCACAAACAAAGCTATAAATGCGATAAAATCGAGAGACTTCACTAAATAAAATTTTCATTCGCATTTCCCTATTAATCTTTCAATGATGGATCAAAATAAAAAATAATCGATTGCAATCGACAAACCAGGCTTTTTATGAATGGAGCAAGCAAGAGGTATTTTAGATATCCTTCAAAGTTTCAACAACTCTGTTTTCGTATAATGGCCGTTTGTTCAACAGCAGTTCGTGCACCTTGGATACGAGTGATGTTCAATGTATGATGTTGAAGCAAAATTATCTTCGAAATCCTGTTGTCTGTAAACAAAATCATAGTCTAGCAAAGAGTCACTATGCATTGTTCCGTGTCTTATTATTTTCCAACAGGCAACTAGTAATCATGAATTTGAGCAATAATTGTCTATTTTTACCTTACCAGTCATTTTCTGCAGGAAATTGTAAAAATATTGATTGAGAAAGGAACAGCAAAGCAAAGAAACGATGTAACGATCATTCCTCTGCTTTTCTAAAAAAACCAACTCATGAAACACACTTTTCAGGAAAAGATAGAAAACATTGAGAACAATCACCAAGGAGGTGATAAACAGAGGCAGAAGTTAGTGAAGAGGATACTTGCACCTGAAGCAAAAAATGCGGGCTGACATATTAAGTTCAGAGCTTTTAAAACTTTAAAATCAAATGCATTACACTTCTAAAGGTCAAGCCACAAAACCCATTCCATGTTTTACTATGAAATTTAAAGAATATTGTCCAACCACAATCGTGACCACTATAGATTTAATTTTTATACATTGGAGACTGGTGAAATTTGTTTGGAGTATACAGAGCATGATGGCGTAGAACTGAAAGTGCTCGAGCAGCGATACAGAAATGCTACGCTCGTGCGATATAGAACATTTAAATCATAGATATGTGTTATTTAGACAATAAAGCCAACAGTTTTATTTCTTACATATCGCAATTAGCCTCACTATGAGGAATTTTGAAAACTAGTTCTGTTCCTTGCATTCCAGTCACTGGTCTATTAAGCTCACTGTAGCATAGCGGTCAAATCTTTGATTGGCTCAGAGCTCTATTCGCTACCATGTTCTAAGCCAATCAGCACACAGGATTCTCACAATGTTTTTTTGTAGACAATGTGGCAAAAACACGCTGAAATGGCGAAAATGGGCCTAATTCTAGCTGCGAAGCGATTTTGTTGTGAGAATCCTGTGTGCTGATTGGCTTAGAACATGGTAGCGAACAGAGCTCTCAGCCAATCAAAGATTTGACCGCTATGCTGCTCACTGTAGATCGATCCAGCTCGATCCAAGTCTTGTTTGTAGATCATCGATTCCCGTTCCTTCCTGAAATCAGTGATTTCCGTTCACTGTTCACTATAGATCATTGATTCCCGTTCCTTCCTGAAATCAGTGATTCCCGTTCATTTTCACTATAGATCATTTCCCGCTCACTGTTCACTGTAGATCATTGATTCCCGTTCCTTCCTGAAATCAGTGATTCCCGTTTGCTGTTCACTGTAGATCAGTTATTCCCGTTCCTTCTTGAGATTATAGCACGATGGCAGTAAGCATAAGTCTAGGTTTTCTTGGATTCAAGAACACAGACGGAAAAAATAGCGAGAAACAGAGGGAGTTGGGTTCTAAACACGTCTTCTTAACGCTGCCAAGCCACCTATAACGATTTTCCGCAGAAAATTTAGCAGTGTAAGCAGGCAGTCGCCGAGGAATGGTGATTGCAGAATCCTCGCTAAGAAAAGATTATCACTAAAATATGAGTACCCATACTAAGGAAGGTAATACTTGTTACCAATAAATTAGTGAAGGTAGGATGAAGTAGTTGCTCTTGCGATGAAATGGATGTGTAAGAATTTTCAAGCTGTATTTGTATTGTTTAATAGCCAGCATATGCCTTCTAGGATTATCAGCAAACCTCTTGTACTAATGAGTAGGGAAGTAGCCTTTTCTTTGCCAAGAACTGAGGGTCGACCCTTTTTAAAATGAGTCATGGGGCATTGAGACACCCTTGAATTTGAGGATGAACACTTATTGACGAAGGTGAACAGTTTACGTGTTTGTCTCGCTCTCTAAAGCCTTTAAAATGTGTGTGAAAAGAAGATAACGATTCTGCAAATTTTAAACTTCATGGATTACAAGGCCAGGCCGTCCTTAACCGAATGGCTACAGCGCACAAGGCCTGGATTTGAGCTTTTCTAACCAGACCAGACTGCTTAATACCTTGCTGATGGAAAGAGTGGCAAACAGATTTCCAATACAAACAACTTTGAAATGGGTATGACAAGTGACGCTAAACTATTTATCGAATGATTAGTCAAGATTTTGCAGTGGTTACGATCAGACCTACCCGAAGAAAATAATAAAGGATATAACAAGGGATCTTTGTTGCTTGAAAAAAATACAGCCAGCTTAGTGCATTCGGTCTGAGTGGTAATTGAGTTGTCACTTGGGATTATAAAAAAAGGCCTAAGGAGAATTACTCATGTGTCTATTGATTTAAGTAGGCGTTTAACAGTAATGTTCATAATTCGAAGTAAAAAGGATGTCGAAAAGATGAAATTAAAAATTTTAAAAGCGATAATGCTATTTGACTATATTAGATAAGAAATGGATGAGAAATATCAAGAGAAGTTCATAATCTAGAGACAGACCTTGGCTTTGGCATCCATATTCAGAAGTTACAACAAAAACATTTATGAACTACCGTAAAAGCTCTATTAAACCCCCCTCTCTATAAAGGCCCCCTCTCTATCAAGCCTTCCTCTCTATCAAGCCCCCCTCTCTACTAAGCCCACTCTCTGCTAAGTCCCCTCTCTATTAAGCCTCCCTCTCTATTAAGCCCCCTCTTTAGCCCCTGATGTAACAAAATGCGTGCTAAGTGGGTTTCTTGATGGTTGTGATGATGGTAAAGGGA